CCCTTGGCATCCCCGTTGGCAATGTTTCTTTTGATGCAGCCCAGGATATGGTTGGCTTTCTGGTCCAAGAGGGCACATTGCTGGCTCATGCCCCGTTTGCCATCCACCGATATCCCCAAGTCTTTTTCAGCAGGACTGTGCTTCATCCTTACATTCCTCAGCCTGTACTGACACTGGGGGTTGCCACAACCCAGGTGCTGACCTTGGCTGGTTTTGTTGAAGCTCATGAGGTTCTCCTGGGCTGCTCAAACTTATCTAGGTCTCTCTGGATGGCATCCCATTCCTCAGGTGTGTCAACCACACCACACAGCTTGGTTATTTCAAGGCTGTGAGAGTCATAGGTTTAGAGCAGATTTTTTCCTAACACTATGAAAGGAGAACCATCTTCAGGATCCTGGTTTTAATTTCCAAAAGGACAGACTAAAATTCCTAAAATCCCAGCTTAGATTTTAGGCTGAGGGCAGGACCCAGATAACACATCTGGTTTTATATGCTAGTATAGAGTAAGCTGACAGTCTGCATGGCCGCCCCATCGCTGCCCAAGGGTAAAGGTCATCTCTGAAAGCCTGCACTGTTCTCCCTGCAGCACGCTGTGTGTTCCAGTCATAACTGCTATGCAAATAGAAAGGTAACCGCAGTACAAATGCATCATAAAACCCCTCCCTGTGCTGCCAAGCAAAGCTTCTAATGCAAAGGAAAAGTTTTATGATGAAAAAGCATATTTCCTCTTTATTTCCTTTTCACTATCGTCAGCTTTTATCTAACAGGATCTGTTTTAATCTCAGCTACAGCTCATTCACCCTACGTGCCATATTCAGGATTCTCTAGCCTTCAAAAGCCATATGGAGTTTAAGCTGTTGCTGCATTTTTAATTGGGCCAAGCCTAGTATCCAGTGTTTGGAGATAAACTAAAATCTGCTCGCATATATTGAAGCACTCTTCCAGGAAGAGTTCAGTACTTGTTTTACAACAGTACTGACTTATTTTGTTATTACTCCAAGCCAAACACAGATATTTTGCTTGAGGCCATTATATTATGACCTTCATGTGCTTCAGAACGCTTTTGAACTTTCTGAAAGATATTGCTGTCTTAACCAGCAGCTACGCTTACCCTGAAAAAAGCCTTCTTTTCTTTTTTTTCTTTTCTTTTTTTTTTTTTTTTGGTCAACAGCCAGGGACTCAAGCTCTGCTATTTGTATCTGTAGTGAACATATGGGCTGAAGGTGCCACCTAGGCAGTCTTTTGGTTTCTTCTGTTGATGATTGTGATCTTGTTTCTGAGCAAAGCAAGAGGAGCACCACGTTTTCATTCAAAGCTCTCTCCATTATTTGGAGTATCCATTAATGACCCTTTCGCTTGCAGAGTGTCACATAGGAAATGCTAGTTACAGCTTTAATGTGAAGGTAGCCAGCTCTCAGCTCACTGCAGTACTGCCACTATCCCTCTCCTCCATCAAATACTCCAGTTGTTTACTTAGTTCTTGTATGAGGGTCTGCCAGCAATTCTAGGACACCCTCCGGCCTTGATTTATACCTACAGCACCAGACTCTTGGGTGTCTTGACTCATGCTGGGAACCTGTTCATTGATCTCACTGGCTGGATCCTGGTCATCTGCATCTCAAAAGGAAGCTGAACCAGATGGCTGCTCAGGGTGCTGCCAGGCTCACTTTCTCCCACCTCATGTCTCTTGTTGAGGTGATCTTTTCTTTACAGCACCCTGAAAACCTCTAGGAGTAAAGCACTCCCTTTGGGGCTGCCAGTGGTGGAGTAGGAACTCTTGGTTCCTCCTCTCTGAGCTATGCGCTTCACAGGCAAAACAAACAGTAATGGATTTCTGAGGGTCACACACAATGCACTTGAATCTCACGAAAGATGGAGGGAGGCCTGAAATCATATTTAAGTTGTAGACACTCCCAGATGTCTGGCTACATTTGAGGTCATAGCGGTTTACTTCTGAGCCCCAGGAAGCAAGGGCAGCCTGGAGCCTACTGAGGACAACACCTTTCAAGGTTTTGTTGTGGGCAGTTCCACCCATAGCCCTACATCTGAGTACAGCTTGCAGATCAAAAAATAGAGGCGTAAGAGAGAACCTCATGCAATTTCAGAAGAATTTATGGTCAGCACAACCTAATGAACAGCACTATATTTGACAGCTGGTTCTGATGTCCCTATTCCCTTGCACAGACACAGTGCTGCCTGCATTGTGAGCAGAAGCACATGCTTGTTCAGAAGGCCCTGAGACCTTGTGGGGATTTGCAGTATCAGCTGTTTACTATGGATGATAAGGATGTTTAAAGCATCTCTTTTTCATGTATGTGGATATTTAAACTGGTCTGGAGGAGAGGGAAATTAGTAAAAATAATAGAATGCAAAGAGAGGAACGTAAGTTTAGGGTGAATAGGTTTTTTTTTTTAGCAAATGTTAAGTTCCTAAATGTGAATTGTTTACAGTTGCCATCACTCAGACATGCAGCTGAAGAAAGGGTATAACCCAACTCTGACTTCTGATCCTGAGCTGATGATACCTCTGCTTGTGAATGATAAAATATATTTAGCTCAGAATTTGTGAGTTAAGATAAAATGGATTTATTTGCTTATCATAAGAAAATCTGCTAAAATATCTGAAGTATGATTGCAGAGAATGGCACACCTCTGGTCTACATATAGATCTAAACTTTATGCTCATGATTATACATGAATGTGATTCTTCGAGTCCTTGATGCACTGTGATGCTGAGTACAAACTTGCCTTTTCTGCATGTCTGATTTCTGGCATGACTTCCAGATGTTTTGCTTATAGCAGGCCTTAAGGTTGATATCTTACCCATGAACTGCATCTGGGGTTGAACTGCATCAAGGATGTCAACAGAGATCTTAATTAGCAGCAGTAACAGTAAAAAAGAATGGAAGGACAGCTGCTGGAGTTGAAACTTCCATAGCTTTTGTGTGATTTCTCATGGTGTCTGCTCATTTACTTATCTCAAGAACCCTTCCAAAGAGAGCTATAGAGTGATAATGTTGGGTGTTTTGGTCCTGAATGCTAAAGACAGGAAAATTTAAGGCCAGCTTAAGCCCAAACAAGCAAACTGGAAGCCTGAGTTACAATTCCTCAGCTTTAAGAGCCCGGGATTCTTTTATCATGGCTCATAATGGTGCCAGTTTATCTTATCTGCATGGCCCAGAAGGGAGAGTTAGCTTTCCTAATATGTGGCATGTGCTTGCACAAAAGAAAAAACATAAAAACCAGCAAGTAATATAATGCTATGTTCATGCACAGTGTACTACAGTATTTTACATTGACCAGTTCTACTTGGCCAGTGAGGGAGAAGGCCCTGATATTTAGAAATTATGACATCAGAAAAAAGGTAAGAGGATGCTGCATTCCAGCAATTTGTTTCACTAGTAACAATGAAGACCAACGACAGATATTTCTGTTAGTGTACACTTTATTATTTCCCTTACATTCATTGCCTTCTCTGGCATCCTGCTGAAATGTTTTTGATTGTCTACAAGCAGGAGATCAATTGTCATAAGGTGTGTCACTGTTCCTCATCCCTGTTCACAGCTTTCAGCTGCTGCCAGGCCTCACATTCCTCTTTGTGACTTCTGAATGCTGCTGTGATTTTAAAGAGACACTATCAACAGAAACAGTCCCAGAAGTTTGTAATTACCCTCGTTCTTAATTACCTCCCACTAAAAGTTAGTCTAAGCAGAACTTCTGCAAATGCACAGCATTGTTGTTTTATTATTGTGTGACTTTCACAGAATAAAACCAGTTCTTGATTATTTCTAGAAGTCTCCTCCCTGATTTTCAGACTGCAGTTCTTCATTTCAGTGCCACTCTGTCTTCATGTTTGCTCTTTGTGTATCAGTTTTCACTACCGCTACTTTTGGGGCAGTGAAAGTAGATTTATCCAGTCTTCCAGGTGTTTATTCATTCATGGTACATGCAGCATTACTTGGGTTAACAAGTTGAAAGAAAAAGTTAGACTTTAATTGCCCATTTTCTGTCATATTTAAAAAACTTATAAAAACATTGTCCCCCACATGATGTGCTGTAAGTTCCCTTCCTCTGTGTTGTTTTTGGACTTTTGGAGTATTTTGGAAATGATCTCTTAAAAGACAATAGTATTTTTAAAACCTCCTACAGGAACGCATTTGATTTGAGTTACTCAAAGCAAACGTGAAGGACCAACAGACCTGTGAAAATGACCTCTGCTGGAAAAACAGGGTTGGTTGTTTAACTTCCAGGCTGTTTTGTTCTAAATGCATGTGTGTGACTTCCTGGCAACTCTGCAAGAACTGTGTGCATCTCCAAGCATAATTTAGCTCCAATATCCAGAAATATATTTGGACACAATGCAACGTCACAGTCTGCTGGTTCTAAGTTTCTGGTAGGGATTAAACCTTTGAGCAGAAGTGTTGAAATGAGTGGACCTCTCCTCTGTGAGGTCTTAAAGGATTGCACATCCCTTTCTGGGTTGGAACAGCTGCAAAAGCTCCTGCGCCAGCAGTTTGTGGTGGGGGACACCACACAGGCTCCATTCTTGCAGGAGGGCTTGCGAATGCATATGCCAGTTGTGGGTGCCATCAACATAGCTTAGCTCCTCTGGTTTGTAGAATAATGGCAGATCATGTCAACTCGGAATCCAAACCACACGGCTGTATGTATTTATGTGTTTATTTCCAATTGGTTTATCTGGACAATCTAAATGCTGGTTTGTTGAGATGAATATTGTATAGAAAAGAGTTTTAATGCTTCCTTTTCATCTCCTACGATCATATCATAGGAACAGTCTTCATGTGCTTAGGAATTTGTCTCTTGTTACCTATTCCCACATGTGCAGACATAATCCTTCTGTTATCACACTGCAGGTATTTGCTGTAGGGAGGATGATGATTTTAACAAGGAGAGTATGAAGCAGGATCAGATGCATTCCTTAAGCAGCAGTGTTCCTAATTTCATGTATTTTTCTCTTCAAAAATAAAGACAAGACTCCACTCCTTTTACAACATTTAATCAACAGGATTGTTTTGAAAATGTGATTTTCTTGAAATAATCACTGAATCACCAGCAATTAGCAAAGAGTGACGGATCAGCCCAGAGTGTCTGACATACCGTATCTAGATAAAACCCTTTTTGGACACAGTTATCAATTCCAACAGCCATATAAAGGAGCATGATGAGAGCCAGGCATAACCAGATCTATGTAAAATCAATTTTATTGCTGTTGCTAATGAGATCTCGAAAGAAAGAGGCTTAAGAACCAGTGAGCACATGAATACAAGTAATATAAAAATACTCATTTTAACTCCCTTAGTGCTTTTATAATGCAGGTAGTGAAACAGCTTCTTGTGCATACTCACAGGGTCTGGAGATTCTTGTTTAGCATATGTGAAAAAACAAAAGGGTGAAAAATTACTATGTCCTGAGCAGTGCAATTGATGCTTACCCTCTGTTGAAAACAACCTGTATAAAACATTCTGAAAAGTATTTGCTGCCAATCAGCATTTTAAACCTCTGTGTATAAATGTCTTCTAGACTAAAGGCAGTCTTCTGAAACTCCAAGTAGTGGTAAACCTAGATGAAATGTCACCTCAAATGTCCCGAGGAATCCATTTTTGGTTATTCATATACTGATCTATGGTGACAACAATGTGGTGAAAATTAAAAACACAGGACAGCTATCACAAGTCATTCAAGTCTACAAATCAGCCTCTTTTTTCCAAGATACTTCTCGATTCACAGGAATACCAGCCGCATGAGAACAGTTACACTAATCAATAGATGTCTTCTGTGATGTTATGATCTGATTCAATCTCTAAGTGAGTTATAGGCTTTTGTGGTCCGGGTATTGACAAAATCTGTCTTCTTAAAATCAGCCTTTGGAATAAAAGAAAGAATAATTCATTATCTTCGGTGTCGACACTGCAAGGGTTCACCTGCCTAAAAGATAGGTCTTGAGCCATAGCAAGGGTCGAGGTAGAGTCTTCTGCAGTCACCAGAGACTGAAGAGATATCTCCCAAGAGTAACTCAGTTCAGTCTAAGAATTCTACAGATTCCTTGTGAGAGGAGTGGAGGGGCAAACACTGATCTCTTCTTTCTGGTGACAGTGGCAGGAGCTGAGGGAATGGCATGGAGCTGTGTCAGGGGAGGGTCAGATTGGGGATTAGGAAAAGGTTCTGCACCAGAGGTCAGTGGGCATGGAACAGGCTGCCAGAATTCAGGAAGCATTTGGACAACACTATCAGACATAGGGTTTGGATTTTCGGTGGTCCTTGTGGAGGCAGGAGTTATACTCAGTGATCTTTTTAAGTCTCCTACAATCTGGAATAGCCCTATGATAGTATGAATCACTGCCAGGAGTTTCTTAACTCTTTCTGCTGCCTATTCCTCTGGCTCCAGCTCTACAGACTCATAACTCTTAGATGACTAATGTCAGTTGAGATTAACCCTATACAAATGAAGAGTATAGGACAATGCCATAATGCCTCATAATTGTATCAATCTCACTTGATCAAGTAATTTCTGTTGCTTATTAGATTGACTTTTCAAAAACATCTAGACATTAGGTGGCTTGCAGCTTTCAGTGCTACACTTGGTATCTCTTTGGGTACTGATTTACAGGGAAACAGCAAGTAATCAGCATTTTATAAAAATAAGATTGGACAAATATATCTTTTATCTACATCCAGAATAACAAAGGCTTCAGAAAATTCCTGCCATCATGAATTACTGCATGATTCAAGCACCCTTATTCTTGAATACAGTCTTCTTGTTTGTAAGGCAACATACTGCTGAGTATGATGAAAGACTGTAAAGAGATAATAAGCGAAGTAATTTTCTTGATCAAATTTCAAACAAAAAATCTACAGTTCTTACTGTTGTGCTTTTTTTCTTATTCTTTTTTTTGAATCCAGGAGACTCCAGTTTCATTGTTCCTCTGTTAAGAAGCGAACTGGCTAACATACATATGCTAAAAGCAAGAGCCTGAAAATAGCATAGTTTTAGGTTATTGGGAATTCTAGGTGACAGATACCCTGTGCTGCAGGTAAATAAGGAATGAAAACAGTTTGAAATACAGGCTGGAGACAAGTTGAAGTCAACCCAGCTGTGCTTGGAAAAAGGAGGTACAGAGCCTCAAAAGGAAAGAAACAAGCTGTTCTGTTGGTTTTGGCTGACTCACGCTGGTCATGTTTTGTTTGATTTTGACTATGACAGTATATGTTTGCCACACCTTCCCCTGGCTGTACCTTTCTGTTTGAATGTAACTGACACGTGGGCTTACAGACGGCACAGAGAACAAGGAGAATAAGACTGGGTTTAAAATAAGAAGCTGTTCTGCCCTTCCTTTGCTTTTTCTGGCAACTTATGCCCTCTGTGTCAGACTGGTTTGGTCAGTGGTGGGTATGTATCTACTAAGCATCATTTCTCACTATCTGACTGCTCTAGCAACACTATTGATAAAGTTTGCTAGTGCATACAAAACCAGAAAGGGAGAGAATACAAACACTGGTAAGCAAATTGAAGAGCATTCATTGCTTGTGCAGCACTATCACAGAATCATAGAATGGTTTGGGTTGGAAGAGATCTTAAAGATCATCCAACTCCCAACCCCTGCCATAGGCAAGGGATACCTACTGTTAGATCAGGTTACCCAGGGCCCCATCCAACCTGGCCTTGAACACCTCCAGGGATGAGCGTGTTCTCTGGCAACACATTCCAGTGCCTCACCACCCTCTGAGTGAAGAACTTCTCCCTAATATCTAATCTAAATATATCCTCTTTTAATTTAAAAGTATTATCCCTTGTACAATTACTACTCTTCCCAACAGCGTCTCTTCCAGATTCCCTGTAGGCTCCCTTTAGGTACTGGAAGGCTGCAATGCGATCTCTTCTCAAGCTGAACAACCCCTACTCTCTCAGCACATATTCATAGGAGAGGTTCTCCAAGACTCTCATCATCCTTGTTGTTCATTTCTGGGCCTGATTCAATGGGTCCACGTCCCTTGTAGGCTGAGGGCCCCAGAACTGAATGCAGTATTGCAGGTGGGGTCCCTTCAAAGCAGAGTAGAAAGGGAGAAATATCTCCCCTGACCTGCTGGCCCTGCTACACACAAGTGAGAGAAGTGCCAAATTCAATCACCCCTTGAAATCTTATCAGGAAACACTACAGAAGTGCTAAGGGCCACAGGGAACAAATGAGAGGGATCTACAACTGAAATGACAAATTAAATGTCTTTGCTATAAGACAGGTCTTACCTTTTTGTAAGCATTGTGGAGATCAGTATGTGACCACAAGAAGTAGAGGAGGACTGAAGCAGCCTTACTAGCTTTGCTGAACATGTTACTGAAATTTTGTAAAAAGAATGATAAAATACAGTTAAATTCCCACTTCTTAAACACAGTGTATGTAGAGACTTAAGATATTATAACCTCATAGATTTTTCTGTCTCTGTCCTTCCAAATGATGCTTTCTTGTTCTTTAGGTATTCTAGCAATCTCACGCTGTCCTGATTACTAAAGATAATGAAACATACATTTCCATTTCATTTATTCATCAAAATTAGAGAGAAATTAAGTACTCTATAGACTTAAACTTGCAGCACATGTCATAGTATCCAAATTCAGTTGAGAAATTGCACCTCAGAATAATTCTGAATGATCTTCCCAGCAGTTAAAATGTCTCATTAGTTACACAAAATTAGGCCTCCTTTACTGAGATGAATTTCTTCTTTCTTTATGTAAAAAGAGAAGAAGGCAAACAGAATAATTACTCCTATTCATAAATCATTATTCTATTTTGATTAAATGTTGGTTGCATGTGATTAAATATTAAAGAATTATTAAAGAAAATTCAGGTCTTATACCTGTAATGAAACTCTATACATAATTTTTACATACAGCTCTATCTTTTCTACAAAATGTACTCCTGTGCTAAAGTTTAAAAGTTATCCGAGCTGTGTTACAAAGGACAGGAAATAAACAAACTGTTTTGGGGACAGATACAATCTGATAGCCTGGCACTATATATATGAGAATATAGATAACGTGCCTTCATCTTTGGAGATGGTATTTAAAGAACTGGAACACAGCACATTCCTTTGTGGATGGAACAGATTTTACAAGATATTTTTCTTTGTTTTCTAATATATGTAATTCTGTTCATACTGCCATCACTTTCAATCTATCCTGTACCTTAAGATGCAGTATTTTTCTCCCAAGTGGAAAAGGTTGCATTTTCTTTCTTTCTTTCTTTTTTTTTTTTTTTTTTCCTGAAGGAAAGGAGGGAGGAGAGGGGAAGGCTTCTCAACCATCTTACCTGTCGTTCATGCTGATGGCAATGATCTTTGGCAGGCCACCAGAATTTAGGAGAAGCCGTGCATTGTGAGAACTGCTCTGTGTCAAATTGTATAAGGTGTAGCAGATTGAAGCTGTGGTTTCACAAGCAATATCAGACCCTGGGACGTAGTCGGGAAGTATCGAGACCAAATCTGGCAAAACTTCTCTAGCTAGAAGTTGGAAGACAGAAAACTCCGTTACTTACTGTCTGTTAGTAACATTACTACATTACTACTTACCTAGGACTCCTATGAGACATTAGTCCTCCCATTACTATCTATCACAGTGCTGTGTGCTCCCCGAAAAGAGTAATGATTTCATAGCTGCATTATATTCCCCCAGTTAGGTAACTGCATCCACATGAAATTGTACAGTGTATGTTTTGCTTCTTATGCACAATACATTAATACTTAGTGTACTGCAATGAAGTCCTTAGGTGTGTGAAAGCAGGAGGCTACCACCTCCTGAGGAAATGTGCGTGTCTGTAGGTAAACATGGATTTAGTAGTACATCACAAACTGAGAAAGGCATTGATTTTAATGTTGCATTTGACAATTGTAGGCTATAGGAGGATGCACACATTGAACCTAAGTTATTTATATTTAAGAAGAATGTCATACTTGGAGGTCTCCTCCTACTCAAAGAACACTTCACTATTTTGACCACACTGTAGATGACTCTACCAGCCATATATATTGTGTATGTTGTATGCATATTGTGAGGACTGGGACAATGTGGAGGACTATGCCATATGGAGTGGTCCATGTTCAGAGTTGATGGAAAAGACTACAGCAGTCAGCAACAGGCTGCAGGCAGCTGCTTCTGATGTAAGAAGCAGCACTGGGAATTAGCTGCAAGCATTTGGGGAAGGAATTATTCAGTGTGAGGCCATACTGGCCCTCTACACTCAGCATGCCTCTTGTACTGAGAATGTTTTCCTCACTCTGACTTCTGTTCTTTCCACTAGGTTGTGACAAAGTTAGTTTACAGTGAGATTAAATTACATACATTTAAGATAAAGAGTTCTTTAAAACTGAATAAGCCACCTGCTATGATAAATATCAGACAAAGCAATTATGTCCAACATGATAGTCCTTTTTTTTTTCTGTTGGTAAATCAAGTAAGGAGGTTTTCAGGAAGTCTGAAAATCATTTTATTTCCAGATATGTTTTATATGAAACTTATCTCAATTTGAAATCAAACATTAATTTTGCTTGCTGAAAAGAATCGCTTTTATCTAGGAAAATTATGTCCTTCCTTTCCTTTGGCCAAAATGATTGGAGAGTTTGACTTGAATCCACACATCAGTCAAAAAGAACTCCTTTTCACTGAGGAAAGGTTCATCTGAAATTCCCCCCATTTTCATTACTGTGGGTAAAGCAATAAACAACAGTGAAGTTTAAGCACCTTTCTCCAGAGCTTCATGCTATTCTGCCTTTTCCACGTTCTTTCATAGATTGTTTTTCCCTAAGAAAAACCTGACCTCTTCCTCTCAGGCTAATTCCTATGTTTCTGGAGGATTCAACACTTGTAATTTTTAACACCCTATGCATTATCCTCTTGAAATCAGTCTAACAACATATTGTTATATTTTCATTAATAAGGAACGCTCTCTAAGGATTAATCAGTGACCAGAAGACTGTTCTGCAGAATTCTGGATGCTAATTCATTCCATAAATCAGCTCTATGCCTGTCGTTTCCTCTTCTCTCTTCAGCAGGAATACAGAAAAGGGCAATGAATGATGTGAATTCACTTTATCCTATCAGTAGGAAGAATATTCAAATATAAATTAAGTAAAATGAAAATACTTGGAACAGAAATGGCTTCTGATGTGAAAATAATTATAACATTTTATAAATAATACCCTCCAGAAATAATTGGTTGTTTTCTCTGTAGAATCTTCTAACTTCTCAAAAAAGTTATGCAGAGAAACTGTGGAAGCAGTAGCTTGCAAAGTTTTATGTCTACAAGAAGAAAGAAGAATGTCTACAAGAAGATCTTTGCTAGAATGACCTGAGATGTTCTATTACATAGTTGTGGCAGCACAGAACTCTGCATTTTCTTACCTTTACCCTATTTAAAGTGGAAGAAAACCTTTGTTCAAATCTATGCATATTTTACTACTTTGAATGTAACATCACTGGAAGTATCTGATGAGGAATACACAGTGTTGAAAAACCTTGAGGTTAGAGTCATTTTTAGACAAAACCTTTATTTTCAATCCCATACAATAAATCAATCAACCTAAATTACTGATAAAATTCACGTACCAGTTTTTTTGTAATTTTTTTTTTTTTTTAAAGAAGGAAAGGTTGAAGTAAGGAAAGCCGAGAAAGAAAGCCCAGGAGATAACAGTAGTCTTTGCTCACCTATGTCATTTTGCAGGGAGGTGTTGCGAGACAAGTTCCTGAGCAGCGAGACTGCTGTCTTCTTTACTGCTGGGTGGCTTACATGCAGCATAGTTCGAATACTTGGAAGGCCATTTGCCTTCCGAACAACAGTCTGGGCCACTGAAAACGGCATCTGTTATAAAAGCATTTGGCAAGAATGTGTTGTTACCATGAATATATAGCCTCAGACACAACAGCAGTAGGCTCTTTGCATTTAAGGCAGTTTAGATCTGGAGCTAGGTAGGAGGTGAAACAGAAGAGGAAGGTGATATAAAAGAAATTCAAGCCTACTATTTCCCACATGCTGTTTGGGCAGTTCCTCATTCAGAACATAATATAGGTCATCAATTTCTAAACCATGAAAGGGATGTGTAACAGTGCCAGAGAATTCCTCTCTCCATGGGACTGATTTTGTTCCACAAATCCACTTTTTTTCCCCACTCTTTTAGCATCAACTTATCCTCACTGTGCAACGAATTAGCAAATTCCAGATGTGGACACAAAGTAAAAAGAAGTGATCCTCCTATCTGCCAAGCAGGAAATATCTGCGGTGCTGGTTATGACATTCTCCTCAAAGTTCTTTGATTTCATTGATTGTGTCTGGAAGCCAGTGATTTGCCTGTAGTTATCAGCTCCATGCTGTGAGCATGTTGCAACTGCAGCCCTAAATTCTATGCATTTACATCAAGAACTATTTAAGAAAAAGAAAAAAGCTGACTTACTGGTCCAGTACCAGCTGTGAGGTTTTGAAGAGCTCCCAGGGATGCTTCCTGGGTATAGTTTCTGGTACTCTTTGCTATCAAGGAGAGATATATTCTAATCAGTGTGGAATGCCAGAGTGATTCCACACCTCTGGGATTGCTCTTTTCCTCGGGTAGCGGGGTGTCCTGCTGCTTCTAAACATGTGAACAGATCAGCTGTTACAATCAGTAATGACATAATGCATCACAGTCTAAACAAGCAATTTTGTAACTCTATGACAGATGATTCTGCATAGCTCACTACAGAGAATTTTCATGAGAATGAAAGTGAATGTTATTTTAAGACAGACATTTATTGTTTTATTATCGCTGATATTTTAATAATCAAATTAAATAAATTAAAAGCTGATTCAAGTTCTTTTTCTAAGATAAATATTTATTTCCTTGTTTTCATTACCATTTTTGTTAGCTAGATCAAGGACTGCATTTGAAAGTAAAGAACACTTTCATTTTTACTATCATATGTTAGGATTTTGGTTAAAAAGTACTTGTACATAGTATCCCAAGATCTATTATCAATCACGAGTTGAAGCATGGCAATTGGAAGGTTATGATGGAACAAGAATTTTTACCAATCGGCTCATGTGTGAGAACATTTCTTATCTTTGATGATTCGGGGAATGAATCTGAAGTAATCTGATGTGGAGAAATAGGGATGTATTCTCTAGGAGAGATGATCCTGGTATTTGATAACACATAGCCAAGAGCACTCACATTCACAGCACTACAGTCTTCTTATCATAGGAATATGGATCTGTTTGATGACTGATTAAAGTATGTTTAATTTGCAATAATTACATTTTTCCTAACATTCATAGTCTAAGAACAGGTCTGATTTTATTGCATGAATTGAAATTATGCTACTGATGACTACAAGATCCATGTTCACACTCCTTTCAGTTTTAAGCTCCTCAGCAAGTATCAAGTTGTGAACAGTAATGGCAACCTGTAAAATTCCAGTATTTAACTGTACTGACCATTCAATCTGAAAATGGGAGATAGGTGAAGGGGAAGATGCCTTCCATCTTTAGCTATTGACATTGGGGGCTGAGCTGAAGGAGAAATAGTATGCTAAAGCTGCACTCTGGATGGAACAGGAGAAAGAACAGACTCCAGGAAAAATCATGGATGGGGGAGAAGCACAAATCCTTTTATTTCCCTTTCCCCATCCCTGGTACCTGTTTTTCTCTTTAGCAATTCCATTTGCCAGAATATTTGGATCTGAACCACACAGCATCAAAATAAGAAGTCTGAAAGCCAGCAAGCCACAGAGGAGGCAAATCCCCGTGTGCTAATTCCATTTGTGAAACTGCCACAATATCCAGTCATCGGTAGGACACTTGCACAATTGCTGAACGTGGTGCAGACACCAGTTAGGTCCATCAGGTAATGAAGCTGAGAGGCACTATTTCTCAACTAATGAAACTGAATTGTTTTGTCATTTGTTCCATCAGACATCTAATAAGATAATGGATGTCAGAAAAGGCTATGGATAACTTCACATTTTGAGGGTGAGTGTCACATTACCAGATGCGTCACCAACAGAGAAGCAACCTAATTAGATCACAGCCTTATATTCTCCAGAAGTTGCTACAACTGATTAAGAAAATGAGATGTAACAAAGCATGTGCTTTACCTCTTTCACTTTTCTGCTCCGTGTTCCAAAACAGCCTGGTGTTCTATCATTGGTAGAAATATTTCTTCTTTGTACATAGATGCTCTGGGCATAGTTTTCAGGAAGTTCTACCTCTAGTTGGTAGGAAAGATTGTGAAGAATGCACACACAGTTTTCTGTGGCCTAAAATAACAAAAGAATAGAGAATTTGGAAGCAATGGCATGTGTTGAAGGGACATGTATAGACAAGGAACTTCATTTTTGGATCTTAAACAATTAACTGCAGAGTTTATAATGGTTTAAAGAAGAGCCAGTTTTCATGCCACAAGCCTGCTTTTACACTGAGAAATTAAACATGTCCTGAGATGTTCCTAAGCACTCAGGCCAACTGGCACACAAGGCTTGCATTCAGAGCATGGTCCATATCTGTTGGAAATGATCCTGGGACATTATAATTCCTGAATGTACCTGGGATTTGTTTGGGCACGTGCTGTTTGGTACAGACCAGAAGCGTGCCAAGGAATGCACAGAAGCTTAAGAGCAGTGATGAACACATATACACCTAGTCAGTGTCAGCAAAAGGAAAGCTTTGTATCTTTCCAAAGGATACAGCACATTTTTTGTGTCTGTGGTAGAATGCCATTGAAAAAAAAAAGAAAAAAATTAGATGTGCCTTTCTGGAGGTGGCTTGGGGCAGTCTGGTCTAGTGGTTGGTGACCCTGTGCATGGCTTAGTGGTTGAAACTAGGCGATCTTTGAGGTCCTTTTCAACACAGGCCATTCTATGATTCTATGATTCTATGATTCTACGGTTCTACGATTCTACGATTCTGTGATACTAAGCATGACTGAGGTCAGGTTGACAATTTCTGAATGATGAGTTCAGCGGCAAATAGTTTCATTACCAGTTCTTCACTTTTTGAAAGTAAAAAAGGGGATGAATGGTTTTAGGACAAAATGCAGCAGGGAGCTCTTGACACAAGTGTTGTGTGCTGGATTCTCCCTGGAGCTACTGGCTCTGAATGCAAGGAGGTGGAGAAGATCAAGTAACTAATCCCAGGAAAGAGCTACAAATACACAGTAATTACCACTACACAGCACAAGTTATAGCAGGCACATCAGAAGTGCCTCACAAGCTATGGTTAACCTCGTAAGTGGCTGCTGGTCTTCTCACCTAACTTCACCCAGCTAAAAGACAAACATCTAGTCTAAGCAATGTTCATCTGCAGTCAGCACTGGGACGAAGAGAAGGAGAAAACCTGTCTTTTGGAATTGTCCACATCCTTGCAGTTACTGGCATAGGCTGAATGCTTAATGTACAAAAAAATGTAGGAAAATTAATTCTATTCTAAGTGATGTAAACTTCTAATTACTTTGCCAGGCAGATTTAGGTTCCGCATTTCTTAAGAGACATATAGCATTTCCTATTTAGGAAAGTACTCAGATATTGATTCTTTAAAACTTGCTGGATGTTGTGTTGAGGGACATGGTTTAGTGGGAGCTATTGGTAATAGGCAAACGGTTGGACTGGATGATCTTTTAGGTCTTTTCCAACCTTGGTGATTCTATGATTCTATGATTCTATGATTCTAGCTAGCTAGCTCCCTTAGACAAGCAAAAAAAGTAATATCTGAACCTTTAAAAGCTTCTAGTTCTCTGTGGTGAGAGATCCTTAAGACTGTTTTCCTAAAGCCAAGGTATGTTGTTATTTTAGACAGCAGGATAAAAAACACTTTCAAAAGCTTCTTTTTGAACGTTCACATTTGGTAGCAGTTCTAAAAGCATTGGAAATAAGTATAAATTTGGCAGCTACATCACAACTCTTTCTGAACACTGGTTTTAAAACAAAAACTTGCTCTCAGTGATTTCCCATAGGAAAAGTGTCTTGAAGAATACCTTGTCATTAGGCTCGTGGTCTGCAATAGCTCCTTGAATATAATACACAAGAGAATCAATCAGACCGTCACACTCTCTCATCTTTTTCCTTCCTTCTGGGCCAGCAGAGCTCATGTTTCTGTGAGGAAGAAATACACTGGTAAGAAGAAATTTACTTGAAGATATTTTCTAGTGCCTCTCTGACAAACTTTTCCAGATAAACCTTAAAATAGCGAAGTTAAGGATGACTGCTTCTTTTCCGTGGGGCTGTACAATAATATGAGACTGTTAAATAAAACTTCAATTTTAGTGCATTCCCAGACAATAATAAATAACAAATTAAAACAAGCTGTTGTGTTTAGATGGATAAGGCATGCCTCCATTCCAGTCTTCATCTCGATGTAATCTCTAAACAAACAAACTGAACGTTTTCTTCCCCCAAATATTCCACTTTAAGCTGTGTTTTTAATATCTGTGACATTGGCTATGTCAAACTACCAGACGAAAAGTACTTGTGAAAACTTCCTTTCAAAAAAAGTCTTCTTTTAACATTTACCTAAACCAAGTCAATCTTGATCACCCACCAACAGACATAAGTTCTAAGAGTTTTAGCAACATCTACACACAAACTATAACATTTCTGGAAAACAGGGAACAGCTGTTTCTTTATTGCCTACGTTCATTTTTGTGCTTGTAAACTAACCGCAGAGTAAACCCAACTTTCTCAACTTGAAGATGATTGATTTCAGCCACGGGACCAAATTCGCCAGACACCCCATGGGCTGCTAGAAGGAAGGGAAAGAAAGCTGAGCCTGCAGATTGAGCTCAAGGCGAGCAGACAAGTAATGCAGCGCAAGGTGTCCAGTGACTGTAGTCACTGCCAGCTGAGCAGTGTGAGAATACTGAATCTTCTACTGCCAGTGGGGAGCTCTTAGAGTCACAGAATGGTTTGGGCTGTAAGGGATCAGCTGCCCAAGGCCACATTCAGACTGGCCTTGAACACCTTCACGGATGGGGCAGCCTGTGGCAGGGCCTCATCACCCTCTGGGTAAGGAATTTCTTCCTAACATCTAACCCCTCTTTTAGTTTAAAACCACTCCCCCTTGTCCTATCACTGTCAGTCCACGTATGAAGTCATTCTCTGATCTTGTTTATAAGCTCCCTTTAACGTACTGGAAGATCTCAGTGAGATCTCCCCAGAAGTTTCCCCAGGCTGAACGAATTCCCCTCTTCATAGGAAAGGCGCTTCTCTTTTCTGCTTTCCTTCATTTCTCAGAGGGTCCACATAGTGGCTGAGCACCCTTCCTCAGTTTGCTCTTTTGCAATTCTGTCTCACATTCTCATGAGGACAGTAGACCTGTTACTACTGATATTTGTTTTCTGTTACCTGCAGAAGAAAACATGTAGAAAGGGTGGGAAAGAGCATGTCTTCTGAAGAGTTCTATCCAATCTTTCTAATTCTCTGTCAAATGTTTTCTCATGCACATGTGGAGATACTTGGGTTCTCCTAGCAGTGAATAGTTTCCCCACACAGCTAAAAACACAGTCTCAGTGCAGTGCCTCTGCTACCCATGTGCCTCCTGTTGCTCCTGCAGTGTTCAGCAGAGGAGATGTGAAGGGACAAAGAAGAAACATACTGCACTCTGCTGCTTCTGAGAGCATTCTTCTGGCTGCTGGCACCTAGGAAGACAAAGCTGAAGCCACTAGAAACTGCTCAGTCCAAGAGAGGGAAATGCCAGATGCTCTCTGCTGATGCTTTCTGCTGTTCTACAATGGCTCAGGCACTGCTGCATATGCTGTCTGCCTCCTCCAGACTCAAAAGAAGACACTAAATGTTCTACTTTCTGCTCACATTTCTGTGCTTTGTGGTAACCTGAGTGCAACTTGAAAATGAATTATGAAAGCCATTTGAAAACCCTTGAAAAGCTAAGGACATGCTTCCTGCTTGAAGTTTGGCTCAAAATAAGCTACTGATTATCAGGGAAGTAACAACACTTCATTTTGAGGTATAATTATTTTTATAACTGAATGGCCTCTGAATTATGGAATGCTGGAGTTATAAATCTCGACCTCATTATTCTGGCCTCCTGCTGCTCCATTGGCCGAAAGGCTGACTACAGTATCACATTCCTGCTTTGTTTGAAATAACATTAAATCCAGCTCAGTGTTAGTATCCACCACAAAGAAGGTCATGTTCTTTAAATAATTTCAGGGAGTTTACTTTACCCTCTTATTTACCCACTGGAAAACACAACAGTTTAAAATGTTATTGGTGACAGAGCCTGAAAGGCACAGCTTTAAACTTTCCCGTGGCTTATGATAATAAAATACACGTGATATTTTCTACACAGTGCCAATGCAGTTTTATCCCCTCCTCCTGGGAAGCACATATTTAGTTTAAATATTAACGCATTGTAATTACAGCTTTACTTTAGGTCACACTGTTAATAAGGTTCCTATTTATGAGTTCATTCATGCTCTTGTGGAATTATATATCACAGAATTAATATTCAGATTCCTCAATATGGCAACACTTTGGAATTCAATTTTACCTACATAAGTCACATTTGAGTCATGTCGTCCTTTCAACAGTTTATGGCTATGCTGACAGACATGTACGTGCTACAGCTCTTCTAGTGCATAGCACAAATAGTTTCTGAGGTGCACAGACTAAAAATACCATTAAAAGATAAGTGTGGAATTTCCCCCACTGAAGACCTTCAGCTGATATGGCACTTCATCTTGTCACAGCACAAAAATCACTGAACTTTAGACAACTATCATCATTCTGAATGGTTGTGCAAGGAAAAACCATCACTCGTACTTGCCATCTAGCATGACTATGGGTTGGCAAACAGCTTTATAGCTCAGGAAGCAGAACATGAAGTTGAGGCACTGCCCTGTTCTGCAAAGGAAATGAATCACTGAACTGCTTTCCTTGAGTTGCTGACACTCAACTGTTTATCCAGACAGAGACACCGCTATGTGTGTCTGCATGGCCGTGCTGTGCTCCTCTTCCCTCTTTCCCCTTATTACCACAATGTGAACTGGGAAGAGCACCTACTTTCCAGATTGTCCAATTACAGTTGCAACCACTTTGAATGGGGTCAGATTTTATTTTCAGGATTGGGTAGCATCATATAGGAGTAAATTCATATTAAAAAAAAAATCATTTTGAAACAATGGCAATATTTTCCTTAGAAAAGTTCAAAATTGACTTAATCTTGCCTTCCCAAGATTTGAGTCTCCTGACAAATGTAGCACCTTCCTCTGAGCTCAGGAGTTTAACTCTCTCCCTGTGGAGCTCCTGGAGGCCTTGAAATATCCACCACTTGAGCGAATGGGCAATTGCCATTTCGGGCTGGGCTGGCTCAGAACTGCAGCTCTTGGCAATCTCATGCTGAGATCCCAGGGCTACCTACGAATCTTAAAGTTTGCTATGCAAGTTTGTTTTCCCTGAGCTTCATCAGAGTATACTGAAACAAATACATCTGTGGAAAAAAAGAATTGGAGTCAAGATCAGACATATTGTTGTAGAAAACCTCTTGTGCTACACAATTCCTAACACCTCTGCCTCGCATCAGTACTGAATAGTTAGGAACGTGCAACATGAGAGAGAGAGCTGCTGCTTGTAGGAATGCTCTCCTTTGAGTGACTGAGAACTTAAGTTTTGATATAATTTAGCCATTAAGCATCTCTGACTTCTGACATGCTTAAATATGCCAATCCTGGTGACATGCCCGAACTGTACTGCATACTAAAGTGCATGCATGTAAGTATCTGCAGTCCTCATTCATCTCACACCATGCACGGTGTAACCGTATCTGACTGACACAGCCATCTTCCCATGTTTCAGTGTCTTTTATGGAGGATCAGCTAGTACCCTACTGGGAAATATTTTATGATCCAGGTGAGGTAAGTATAAAGAATTTTAACATAGTAAAATCAAACATGATTTTCACAGAAACAGAATGACAGCACGTTCAATTACGTTGCAAATTGAACCAAATGAAAGGGATTTTCCCTTTAAGCCAGCACTACTGGCAGACATCAGAAGAGGCTTTTGCATTGCTGTGAGTGATCCACACTACTGATAAGAAGGTGTCTTTTGTTCCTGGGACTCATTCTGCCAAAACTGGTAATTTGAATTTAATTCAATTATGTGACAACAATCTCCTGAACTGCTTCGTGATGTTCCTGAATTACTTCAGGAAATTGTATTCCCTTCATGCCTTACACAATTTAAAATTGCAACAAGGAAGGAAAGGAATCTATAGATTTACACAGTAATGCTAGGCACCAGGCTGCAAGCTGCTTTCTGGAAATAACAAAATTCCTTCCAGGACCTGGGGGAGCAGACAGACTAATGAATAGACACAAGATAAGAATGGATAGAAATAAACCTAAAGGAGTGGCAATGCTGTGCAAAAGGCTTTGCTTCAAAGGCTTGTTATCATTAGTCCTTTGTTTTATAACTTCAGTTAGAACCTTCCATTACTAGCTTGAGCTGCCATTACAATTTCAACCAATAGTAAGAGCTTTGGCCTTAGTTATCTCTGATTAAATAAAACGAGATGGTTATGCAGCCTCCTCGTCTAAAGTACAGTGATAGCACTTCCTCAGTCTACAGCTTTCCAGTCTCTGTGAGTCACTGTCAAAGGTAAAATAGAGCTTGGACAGACCACAGAACAACAGTGATGAAAAATGAAGCGTTGTATCTATTTTACTTCCTGAGGAACCATGAGCAATGGTTAGCTGACTTTTCTGAAAATGGCTGTCTGAGAAGTTTTGAAGAATTAAGGTACACAGGGCCACAGAAAAGTCCAGTTACAGAGCAGTTTTAAAGGAGGACTCCAATGAAACTCAGCAATTGTAATCATTAGCTCCAACTTTGAAGAACTTTGAAGAAGTGCAACCTGTAAAGCTGTAAAGTTCAATCCTTTAAGACTACACCGAGGATAATGTTCCCATCAGCTTCAGCAGATCACGTTCTGTCCCTGAATAACGGAAATATCTTGCACTGCAAAACTTCTGGAACAGGTATTTCAAGGAAAAAACATGACAAGATCACTATCAGTATTCAAAGTATAATAGAAAGCCTTCTACTAAGCCTTCCTTTTAATTCACAGGAAAAGCCATCCCAAACATTTGTATAATAATATTCAAAACCATATATCCTGCACACTCTTGGCATCTTGCACTTTCAGACTTGGAGGAAGCATATGGAAGAGGAGGCTAAATATCTCCACTTAGCCAATCCATTCCTATTGAAACAGGAGACAGTACTGTTATGCAAAAAAACAGCAAGAGTTATCTTGTCTATGAAAAATTTTACTTAATTGGCTTTTGTCAGATATCCAGCGAAGTCTTTCAATTTGCTTTACTCCACCTGCTCAGGGCACAGTGATTTTTATCATATTTCAGGACTGAATAAAACCATCATTTATTCTGTCAGTGCTAAATTTTGTGTTGTACGCAGCTTCATTTTGAATCTCTAAAGTTTTGTGACCTACAGTTTATGTGAAACTGTCAGAAGCAAAGCTTTAGGACAAAAAGCAGATCTAGAGAATGGGATTAACAAATCCATCCAGCTCCTTATCAGCAAGTGAATGTACAGACCCATGCAGCTGAAGTTTGGGATTCCACAGTATGTCTTGCAGTTACTGGTTAGTAGAATGAGGAATGTTCTGGTTGTTCACTCATTCCGATTCCAGCATCTGCAATATTATCTGCTAGATGTAGATTCCCTTTCTGTCCTGAAATGCTATTAAAGAGAGTTTTAATTTACAGGTTGGTAAGTATGTGGCACCCTGTCAGATGACAGTGATAGAGTTGGACTGTGGCTGACTGTCAGGCAACTTTTTGAAAAGAAATTCTGGCATTCTTCTCTACCTAAGCACTATACTATGCATGATGTACGCACTCCAAAGTTCTATTTTTACTCTGCAATAGAAGCTGCAGGCTATAAACTTTATCAACGTGCACAACAAATGTTAGCATTACAAAAGGGAAGACTAATTACAGATTTATACTCTGGAACATTAATCTACTCTTTAAGCACCTTTATTATAATCATAATTCCCTCTGTGCACAGTTGTTTTTTTGTTTGTTTTTTTATTAATATGCTGTTCTTATGGATTTTGTGCAAATATATTATTTTGAAATAGTACATAAGTAAAGAATACTTCTGGTGGTATTCTGGGAATAAAGAGAAGCAAATTATTCCATACAAAAATCCTAGATTTCTGGTCTGTGCAAATATAAGCCTCATTAAAATCTATTCGCTGCTGACAATCCTACAGATCAACTTTACCTGTGAATTTTCAAGGTTTTACTCTCCTCTCAGTTACAATTCACAGTGTTTGATCATTTAAAAATGACAAGGACTGGAACATGGACACAATACTTTTTTAAATAGCCAATGTATCTTTGGGCAAAGGTCAGTTTGAGAGACTTTCATTAAGGCTATAGAACCATTTGCAGCTTTAGAACAGCCCTACTCACTTTCTTTACAGAGTTAGGTATATTCAGAATCTACTTTTCTTTGATTTAAAATAACCCAGCTACTGTTACTCATTATTTGTCATATACCAAGTGGTGTCAAATTGCTACAAGAACCTCAGAAAGAGTAATACCACATAAAAACTAAGAATAATTCTGTGACCCTATATGCTAGTTTGTTCAGAAGAGATGGCTCTGGAGTCCAAAGCAGGAGCAGGTATAAAGTGGCATATCCAACCAGACTAGTTTATGTACAAAACAGCTTGAGCAAATTCATATGAAAAAAAAATGATCTACTTCATTTCACAGACAACACCACTAGCCAGAGTGATTTTATTATGGGTAGTTAATGTTTCTCTGTATTTGTTTTTGAGCTATTAAAGAAAGATAAAAGTTAATTTTACTTTACTAAAGGAGTTTAACTTAGTCCATGCCTTGTCACTTGTACCATTACTCGTTACTTTTTTCAAACTTTGTTCTTTCATGTAAACAAAAGACATATTTCTGATACAATAATTGCTTTTATTTGAAGTGCAATGACTTTGAACTCACAAGAGATACAAAGGGCCACACTTTAATAGGTTGTTATTTTTAAAGGTGTATCCCGTTTTAAAGACATGACTTTTATACTTCTGTCATTTAGGGGTGGGTCTACCTTAGTAGTCTTTTGTACTATGCTTCTCTGTTCTAATCACTACCGTGTTCATGAGGCTGACTGCAGTAGTAGATGCACAAATGTAATTCTATTTGTCAACCCCATGGCTGCAGCCTGGCCTTGATAGATCTGAACTTGTGCAAAAAGTTGGATGTGGATAATTTTGATTCAAAAATGACTTTTTTCCTAATTTAGTTATTTACCAACCTGTATGCAAACTCTTCTCTTGGTGCCATCTCAGTTCAGAGTAAGCAAGAAAACGCATGTGTGCAGGCCTGTTTTAACATCACTTTATTTTAGGTACTTTTGAACTGAGTGCTCACCTCAGGCATCCTGTGGCATTGTAGAAGATATCAGGGTCAGGTAAAACACTTGACTTGGGGTAATCTCGATCTGGCCAGCCAGAGCAAGGGATGAGAACAGCTTCTGTCAGGATATGTAGGGCTTCTTTAACCAACAGGTGCTTCAGCTGGTCATTGGAAGACAAATTCCACAACAAACCTGCAATATCCAAAATAAAATCAGAGTGGCAAAGGATTCCCCCACAGTTTGAAAGACCTAATCTCAAAGTTCTTGAAGTTAATCAGTAAAAGAGCTCATCTGGCTCTTGACATCCTCAAGAGGAGCAGAAGGACTTGATCAGAGTTCACCAGCCACCATGACACAACACTGCACAACACCCTCCCAGATGTGATTGCACACTGCTCAGTCTTCAGAGTCTCCAGTGAGAATGTGGAAGCATTTTTATTTCCTCCCATGAGATAAGTATAATGGCATTCAGTCATATGTGGACTAAATTAATGTGCTCTTCCTTTAGCCTGAGCTGCTGCAATTAGCCATAGTAAGTACGTCTAAGAAGCTCTACAGTGTCAAAAAAAGAATCTCAACTACACTGTGGAGTCTAAAGTGCTTAAATTTAGCATTGCTGAAGTGTGAAATGGGTGCCTATAGATTCATGTCTTCTCTCTGGAGATATGGAAAAAACAGGAAAAAATTAATTAATGTACAAGGAATTTGATTTCCTATGTCCTTCCATTGAGCAGGTAAGTGACAGAGCTTTTGGACATACTGTCACATACTTTCATGACTAGAAAGTGCAGCATAAGCTTTACTTCACACTGAAAAGATAAATAATTAAAAAAGATAAAGCTCTGAAGGTTCACTATTGCATCACTTATTAATTTTGACCATGTCCCGCAGCTGTATGAGGTTCACAAAGAGAGCAGTTCCTAACATAAAGCTCCCCTCACGGAGGATGCAGATAGTGTCTGACACAGGAAAACATGTAGGTACATTCACAGCAATGTACTGCAACTCTGGGAGTGAACTTTTCCTGAGTGACAGGACTTTGATCCAAGAGAAAGTGGCACTGAAAAGGGATGTACTCATGTCTGTATTAGAGGCAGAGCTCTGTTTAGTCTAATGTCTGACTGAAAAGAACAGCTTTCCACTGCTCTGCACATCACTGCCAATTTGCAGCTATCTTAATCACCAAAGTAACACAAATGAAACTTATAAGAACCTCCAATGCCTATGATCATTTACATATAGGAATATACATATAAATTTACATATAGGAATCCATCCCTATTAGATGCCTGGCAGACTGGCTGCACTTTCAAGTACCATCAAAATGCTGGATAATAAACTTAAAAGAGGAGTAAATGTGAGGTACAAACAGTGAGTTTATACGCCTTTGGGAATCTACTGGAAGATGGGAAATGCCCATTACCATGTTTCTCGAATGCTTGATAGCAAAATTCCTCATAGAAGGGAAAAATTAAGCTTGATCACTGGTTGGCTGTTACTGTCCACATATTTGTCACTAAAACAAACAGTTAAATAACAATGCACACTTTGTTTACTTACAATGTACAAACACTGAAACAAATAACCAATATTGTAAAATCGATTAGCTCTGCTTCTCTTCTATTCCAACAGATGAAAAATCTTTTTAAAGTAGTTTTCCCCTAGACATGTATTTCTGCTTTTCGCTTACAAAGGCATTCATTGTTTCCCCCACTTGCCGCTCTAAGTTTCACATACCTCCTCCTCCAAACACTGGCAGGGTATTAGTGAACGTTCCTTTCATCAGCTCACAACAAAAAATGTTTCTTTTGTCTCTCCTTACACTTTGAATTTAATTACAGCTATTGTGAGCAATAGTAAAATCAAAACAAAACCCAGCCAGAAGCAGCCATTCCTTCTTCTGGGATCAGCTCTCTAACCTCTGAATTAGGGGATAAAAAGAAGAATGTACTTTCCTGAGGGATAAGTAAGGCTTACAGGAAATCAGACATGCAGTCCAAAGGGCATTGGTGAGGGAAGCATGTTAAGACAGAACAGCACAAATGTGTAGGCACAAGGACAGAATATCATATTAGAAGAAACAAGTGCATTCTGAATTATAGATGGATACCTAGAATAGAAGTCAGAATTGTCAGAACAGAATCTGAATATTGCTTACATTGTAAATTTTCTGACAAATCCTGCCTTTGCCCGCAGGCACTGTCTCACTGAGGTCAGGAGGATTCTCTCAGTGGCATTCTGGTTTTGAACAAATTTGTTCACTTCTAAAAATATCTTTAAAAGTGGGCTCTTTTCTTGCAGCCATCTGCTGTAATGTATTTATAGTGGCATATTTTTCCTTTGGATGGTTATTTGGGAAAATGGGTGGGGTACACTTTGAAATTCATTTTTCTTTTTATGACAGATCTGTTTGTGCAGTAATCTTCCCTGCAGAAAGAATTTTTTTTCAATTCTTAGACTTGCACTGCATGATAACAAGATCAAGAGGTTAGGTACTCCCTAGAGGCTCATCTGGCTTACCTTCAAAAGTTGATCTTTTTTTGTTCATGCCTCAACCATTTTCCTTTCTGATCCTCAGTGTGCTCACTAAATTCTAAAAAGTGGCATTCCTCTCTTGGCTCCTGCTCTGTCTCAAAGTGACATCTCTCACTGCTCAGGAGTAACCTCATTCCTTTTGTAAAAGATATGCAAGAAGTTTGTATATCAAACAAAGGACAAAGCCTGTAGCTCCTTTACTTTAGTTGCATCAATGACTTTAAGAAACTAGCAAACCCAGTCAACTCAATCTTGTGGAAGATTTGTTCTCCCTAAGAATAAAGTACAGAAATTGCATGGAGAAACATGCAAATTTCTTTTCTGCACATAGGCATTAGGTAAACTAGTCCATGGCAGTGTTCAGACTGTCAGAAGCACAGCACTTCGATGGTTATACTAGTTTGGTGCTTTTTGTGCATTCTCCTGGGATGCACAGACTATGGCAAGACACAGCACTTGCTATCATCAGCATTTACCTCCATGTATTTTCATTCAAAAGGCTTTCAGTCTTTTCACAGCACAAAACAAGGCATGCTACATGATTGTGCTCAGGCTGTTTACTTCAGCCTAAGAGTTTGCTTGCACCAGCATTTCTGATGTTCACATGGGAGCATACACAGTGAAGAGAAGCTGCAGGTTCATACATACGATGGAGCCAACACAAAGGAGTCAGATTTTTGATCTTGAGATCTTCTCTTTATAGTGAAAAAGAGAGCAGGAGGAAAAGCCAGGCCAGAAGAAAACACAGGTCTTTAAAATATTCTTTGAGGTATACTGAATATGATATAGCTTACTATTGGGCAGAGGTACACTGGTATCAACTCTGTTGCTACTAATTAGCCACTGACCTTAAAGATAAGCTTCTAAGGCTGAAGTATAAGATCATATTGCTTATTTTTTAAAGGCCAGCCTTCCTACACAGTAGTGGAAACAAAAAGCTTTCATCTTCTGAGCTTAGACATTATTAATACTTTTTATTAATGAGTATCGCATGCTTTCTATCCTTGGACAGGAATCTCTCACGAGACTTTAGCATGTTATTATCACATACCAAGATCATTTTACTGATCCAACTGGGGAAGACATTCAGCTAGTTATCATACCATATTTTTGGAAGTCTTTAATTTATAGGCAACTAATAGGTATGATGTGGAAAGACAGGTAGTGAATCTCTAAGACGCTACATCAATATTTTCCTTGAAGCATATTGTTATCATACTGTTGTGCAATTGCATGCATAGCTAGGATATTCTTCTAATCTCAACAGAAGACAAAGGCAATAAAAAGGCAACAAAATTTGCAGGTGAGTTACCAACTATCCAAGGAAACTGCTGTTCAGTGGGGTTTACCCACTCAGAGGTTTGCACTGGCTTGGAAAAGCCTTCTGACAGCCCTTAGAGGATTGTAATTCCAGTGTTTCTTAAATATCACTGTACATGCCAAGAGCATCTGGAAGCATATGCACTTCAGTAAGCATATGATTAACAATGATTGCCTACATGCTGTCTGCAGCCTGCTCTTTGCCTGTCTTCAAGAGGTGGGAAAGAAATGTGGCTGGAAGCAACATTGAGAAAATCATCAGAGAAAATCATTCAACAAGGCTGCCCTCCAATCTGTGGTTCCCTTGCAGCCTCATAGGAAGCCTGAAGAATTTCTCAAGTAATGACAGAAAATCTGCTGTAGTGCCATTTTCACCAAGAGACCCAGTGTACTTCTTCCTGACTGCACATTTGGTCTTGAACATAGTAGAGTTTTTTTCCTGTCTTTTATTTTTAAAGCCATGCTTTGCATCTCATAGTCATGAGATTACATCAGAATATTTTGGCTTATGATAGCCAAAACAGCCTGCTCAATACTATTTAAATATTTTATTGGTGTCTTGAGTGCTTCATACATAAAGGTCGTGCTCAATGACAGCAGTAATTGCAGAAAAAAAGGTACCTCTCCATCCATTTCCATGGATGAAGGGAAAGACAATAACATTCAAAGTGCCTGTATCCATACAAGTCCTCCTGCAAGAACAGTCAGAGGTCCTATAAGAAATGATGAAATGGCAAGCAAGAAATAAGCAAAGCTTCCTGTTCACTGTGTTGTCTTTATCACTGCTCCCCTCTCTGGTGTGTAAATGCACAAAGAGGCAATGCACTATGCAATAAACTACTTAATGACCCAATTCTGTATGTGATGAATGTGAGAAACTCTAAGACATTTGAAAGATGCATAGCAATAGAACACTGCCAAAAGAGCCAACAATACAAAACTTTGTTCTACAGCTTAGGGAGTAGAGTTCAAATACTTTGAAGAATGCAGAATTACAGAAGGTCTCAACATGCATTTGCTTCAAGGCAGGGCTGCTTGACACCTGTATCTTTTTAAGCTCTGTTATTTTAATAGCTTCTGTTCCTGTTGCCTTTAAAGAACACTTAAAGTATATCCCCATTCATTCATTCATAATATTTTCTTACAGTTATATAATATACCAGCTCTTCCCTTGCATACTAAAATGAATGTGGGTCACAAGTAGCTGATTTCCTCCAAACAGGAGGGCAGGGATGAAGGAGTAGGCATTTCTTAACTAGTTGCTGCAAAGCTAACAGGGCAGTAATCACAGTTTTCTTGTGAGAAGTGGTAACCATTTCCCCCCAGCATTCCTAATGCTACAGTGATGCACAAGAGATGTAATATGGGGTTTCTCTTCCAAAGGGCTCTTCCTCCAAAATCTCAATGGGCCATACTCATTTTTAAGAGTTCCTCAAGGAAGATGGAACCAAAAGGATGAGGATATAACCCTCACAAAAACTGATTTATAAATGTAGGTCCTTGACTGATTCTGTCCTATTATCTTTACAATCAAATGGTTGTAAAGCAATTCTCTCTCTTGCACACGAAGCATGATGTGCCTGTGGTAGTGTTTTCTTGTCACTCATCTGAGAAGATAGATTCTGGGGTACAAACAGCTACAAGTGAGTGAATTTAAATAAGGAAGCAGTGCAACTGCACTCTTTACCCAATGCTTGACGGTTCTGGGGGACAGATCCAACACAGACTCCAGAAGGGAACTCCCAGAACCACAGAAAGGGCTAAGCTGCTGTTGAGGGCAGAAAGTATGGTTCCAGGCAACTATGGGACTGCTGAGAGCAATGTTCATCAATATGGTTTGACAGAATTTGCTATTCTTTTCTAGAATGTTAAGAAAATTCATTCCACAAACACGCAGACACGTCTTTTCTGAAGAATCTTTGAGAGGGAAAGTTGCAGTTCCTCGTCTGTTCTTGCTGTTGGTCTTGAGTAATGAATAATCTTACCTTAAGAGAAGAATTTAGAATAGGTGACAGTGCTCTTGTATTAGTCACCAAACACTTGCCTAACTAAGGAATTGGGCACTAATGTATTACTTAAAGCACTTCATGAACGAATGAACAGAATGAACAGAAAACACTACCTGTTATTTGCTTTTTAGTTTCTACATCCTTGGTATGTTGGAGTAAATGGAGCAAGACAGGGATCCCTTTCTGCTCTGACACTTCCAATTTGTTGTCATTGTCTTCAAACACCAAATTTCTCAAAGCACCACACACTGCTCGCTGAATATCCTCGTTCTGAACATCAAGAAGCTGTATAAGTTTGGGGATACCACCAAGGGAGAAAACCTGTGAAGAAAAGAAAACAGCAGAGAATGGTTAGATAATGATAATGACAAATTCCACTCCACTTCTCCCTTGACAAAAGTTTAAGCATTGTTGTAGGGTCTTTTTTTTTTTTCATTTTCTCATTTGAAACACTTAAAGCATAGAGCATTAATCACTTGGGCATGATGCTAACCTCGGGGCTTTTGTATGACTCATAGTTAAATCCATAACTAAGGGAGGCATCATATTTTAGTAATTAATGCAAGAGAATGAAACTAAATCACTTCCAGCTCTGCCACAGATTTGACTTTCTGACAAGACATTCAATTGCTCTGTATTTTAGCTTCTATGTTGGTCAGATGGATATTTGAGATTTAACTCTGGAACATTCATAAACTGCTTTGAGATTTCTGGATGTAATGCGTTCCTGATGTGCCAAATTGTTTTTTTCTTTCTCAGAAGCCAGACTGGTGGGAAAATAATATTTTTCCCTGTCAACTTCTGTACATGTGGTGAATGCATATTAAGTAAAAATGCATTTTACTCAGTACTTATCTGTGGCATACTGAGAAAAGAATAGCTAACTTCAAAATGTAAACAATTAAACGTAAGCTAGTCAACCACTGAAGCCCACATGTAACAAAGACTACTCTTCAGTGCCTAATTTTCAGAAAATGGGGTTTTGGCCCCAAATGAATGAAGAATTAAGATGTTATTTTACAGCAGGAAATAAGGAGGAAACAAATAGTTTCCAAGTTCTACATGTTGTAGCAAATGATAAATTCAGCACGAGCTGTGATGTGGTATAAGCAAGCCTTGGCTCATTTAGGAATGAGTTTACTATAGAAAATACCTTACTTTCATGTAACATTAAGGACTGCTTCCTCCAGCATCTGAAAATGCCATGTGATTTTGTGGACAAACACATACTTGTGTAGAACCGACAGCATGTGAAAGACTCAGAAACCTAATACAACTGTTCTGAGCAGTCCAGAGCTTAACGATAAGAGGAATTCAATATGACTGACAGGTTTTGGGAACTGGAAAAAGTGAACTACAACAAAGCCTTTTGTTCTTCATGCCCTGACAAACTACACTGAATGTCCACCTTTCCCTGATTCTGTTACACAAAAGGCACAGTTTCTTGCTATGGCATTGTTGACAATCTATTTTGCTTTCACCCAACAATCATCTATGTTCTAATGGAAATAAATACAGAAATCTGTATCTAAAGGTAAATGGAGACTAAAACACTTTGAAGGCACATCTGACCATTTTATTTCAGTAGATAAGTCAGTTTGACACAGATACACAGATAGGGTTTTGTTTGCTTGTTTGTTTTTTATTGTAAAGATTTATGCAGACTTTCTGTTGGTAGTTTGAAGTTGAACAGTTACAGCTGTTACAAGGTAAGTAGTGTTATTTGGACCTCATGTGCAGAGAAGAATTTACAAAAGTTATTGATTAACACCTGTCTTACTCTCTGGTAAACAAAATCCAACAAAATACTGTAAGACCACACGTTTAAAAGCAAAAAAAAAAAAAGCCACTAGACCCACTAGAGTTACAAACTATCAGGTAACAGGAAACAAAGCATTAGGAGAAAAAGAACTCATGCTGAACGTGCAAACAAGAGAACAAGAAAAGGTCTGATGGGCACCAAATACAAAGCTCAGCTAGACTATGTGATACAGACAGCAAACCCAAACAGGGCTTCAGGCTGACTGATACAATTTGAACTTTTTAAGCTCATCCAGTTGATTTTCAGGGAAGCTGCTTTGGAGAGTTCTGAATGATAAATCACCTTCAAACATTCAGTTCTGAAGCTCCATCCTAAAACTGAAGTTAAAGCTGCTAATTACACAGGTGTTTTTTTTCCTGAAACAGTCTGACCCACTGTGAAGCAAGTCATATTTACTAAAGGGCTGAGGGATGTTTGGCTGAACTGGACTGCATATACATGAATACTGAGCTAAAACAGAGATTACATATAAGTAATACTGGGCAAATTACGGAACAAAGAAATTTAAAACAAATGATTTAAAATGTTTAAAATAAAATAAACAACCATCACACAGTGCAGAATAAAGGCTGAAAGAATTATTTTCATTTTACTCTGAAAAAAGCAGTTTAGCAGCCTTAAATTATACAAAAAAATCATTATAAAAGGGACAGAAGAATAGAAAATTTTCTCCATATCCATCAAGATAAGATAGAAACTAATGAACTTAGTTTGCAAAGGGAGATTTAATTATACTTTACAAATAACTGGCATGGATACAGTAAATCTTCTTGATTGTCCTTGGGAGCTTGTGGTGTCCTTTTTTAAAAAGTTGATCAGAAACACCTGCAATTGCAAATGGTTGATGTCTCTTCTTACTCTACATTTCCATGTTTCCTATCACAAAATGCTGAAGACCAAACTTTTGGTAGCACTGACCAGTGTTACTCTATTGATTACTGATTTAAAGAACCTGATGCAAAAAGCATCAGCATATTTAAGGGAAAATATTCAAAATCAGTATCCTGCAGTGTTTCTTGGAATGCTCTTTCTCGTGTTGGTACAGTACAGTTATTTGTTCTGACTAAAACTTGTATAAAAGCAATCACTTACTTTTCTTCTGGCTTCTGCTTTCTGGAAGCATTCGTGCTGTATGAAAGTCACTGCAGCAAGTATCCTAGGTGTTGACTGTGTATTTTCACTCTTCAAGATGCTCACTGCACGCTCTAGAGTCATCTCTACTTCTGGGCTCCTTAAAAGTACAATTAGAGAAAATACAGTGAAGAGAGACTAGAAAAATCGTTCAGCCTGTGAACTACGTTATAACAGCAGGCTATTCATTTTTTAATTAGCTTTTCTTAGAAATCTGTTTCCTTACCAATACTGTAAATGTTTTAGGAGATACTGATACTGTGGGGAACAAGCAAATCATAAATTGAATTATTGCAGCAAGGAGACATTCTGGACAAAACAAGTCATGCTTGAAATTATAAAGACAATCATCAGCAGGTGGAAGGATTAATCAAGGAGGGCCAAAGCCGAGTTACATTGTAACTTTTATGAAGATATCTTGATGTTCTTCTCAGAAATGTGATTATAATTTTTTTGTTTGTTTTCATGCCTTTCTTCAGATTTTCACATCTCAGTCTATATAAATGCAGAGTACAGTCCCTCATTTTCTTTAAACGTGCAGAAATTGCTTTAGCTTAAAACAGATGGCCAAAGATTTTTTCAAGCAAAAGGAAATAAAACCACTCATTAAATTAAGTAAGCACATCACATCTGGTAGGAATAAAAATATACGTGTCCATTTTCTTCTTAATTGCCAATATGTTAGCTTCAGTAACTATTATGTTAGAGAACCATACCAAAATTGGAAATAGGTCATCACTCCCATTCCTTCCTAGTAAAAGAAACAAAACAATTCATGGTACTATCAGGTGCATTAGTCCTAGGATAGGCAGGATGTACTGGTTTCAAACACCCCACTCAGAAGGAAATAAAAGTATTTTTTTTAACAAAAAAAAGTTTATAGAACCAGATCAGGGACTGTACAAACAGGGCCAAATAGGCATTTTGTGAACCATGGTGAAGGGAGTACATTTCATGATAATCATTTAAGTAAGTACATTTAAAATTAGAAACTGTGATACAATTAATTTCTTTGGTAAAACAAGTGTTTGGAAAATAAAATCAACTTGACTAAGAGGAGATGTTGAATAATAAATCATGCTCAGATTAGAAACGTTTTAACATAAAGAAAAGAAACACTACTATAGCATATGTCTGTGGACTGCACCAGGAGTCACTGGGCTCTTCATCTTTGTTCATCTCTATCTCAGTGACAGACTAGCAGGAGTGAAAACTTGGAAGCATAGGCTTGCCCTGAACAAGTGGTGGAGGGGTTAGGTAGGGAAGCAGAAATCAGGTATGCAGAAATCAGGAAGAACTCTCACAGATGATCTTTCCACAAATGCATTCAATCAGACCAAGATATTTATGACAAAATTCTGAGCTCTGAGACAAAAAAAGAAAAAAAAGAATTGTGTTTGATTTTTGTTTCCTCCATCTACCTTATAAATCACAGGGCAGAACACAATTAGTATGGCTGCAAGAACAATAAAGAGATGAAGAACAATTCTGATGCACCTGTTCCAGATGAAATTGTATTCCAGTACCTTGAGGTTTCCACTTGCCTTTACATTTCCATTTAGTATAAATCATGTTATTTTCACCCTCCTCTCTGTTGGTGCTTTGAGCAAATATGCTACCTATACAGATGCTGACATAAGCTTGTGCAAGATAAATATGAAATGAAGGGGACAGCTTGTTGACAATGTCAATGGAGAGGTTAAATCAGAATGCAGTTAGTGTTCTGGGCTCTACTCTGATAATGCTTACATCTTCCAGATTTTCACTTACTTCAGCTCTTACTTAAAATAAAGTAGCTATTAAATTACTTCTCATTACAAGTTGGATACACTGTTCAGAAACCTACTTAAAAATCACCACCAGTGAGTAGTGGAAAAAAGGTAGATCATGTTTCTTGTTCTTAGTCTCTTCAAAGAGGAACAGAAAAAACAGGCTTTTCAATCATGGGTTTTAGCCAGTCTTCTTAAACTAACAAGGTTTTCATGGCCATATGTTATGCACAGGCAAGAAAGCTTACCTGCATGTTAGTCACTGTAATAACTTTACAGCCCTTTGACTCCTACAAGAGGGTAATGCTCCTCCAAAAGCAGTAGCCAGAATCTCTCTCTTGTTGCACGCTGCCAGAGTAGGATTGCTTTCCATTGGATGAAAATAACCTTTGCATTCACTGGTTTTATCTGACAATAACATAATCTTTCACTCTCAAAAGTATTCTACAAATTGCAGCACCCCAACTTTTGTCAAAATAGAATTTGATGAAATTATTCTATCCTATCCTCAAAACAGTTACAGGCAAACCTAAAAGCCACATGGCTAATTAGCTGATGACAAATGGAAGGACGTTCAAGCAATGGTTGTTAAACAGAACAATGATTTGACAAGTTGTGGCCTCATCTTAATTATGAGGATATTAGAAAGTTTTTAACTGTTCGTCTCTACCAGAAGATGCAGAGATAGCATCTCTATATTCTGTTTCTTCTACTTTGACTTCACAGCACGAGCTATTCTTCTAAGGAAAGTCTGCAAATGCCTTTCTGTATTATATATGTAATTTTAAATTCTGTACAGAGGTAGTCTAAGGCTTCTTCTTGATCTTCCAAAACTATTTTACATCCTCTTAATTATTAAGCCTTACCCTTGGAAAGTCCTACATTGTGATTTGCATTGAAAAGTGTGAATTTATGGAAAAATCAAATTGCTTTGAAAATGAGCTAATCTTTTCTTGTCCATTCCATTATTAAAGGAGCAACAGATAAGAGAGCAATACATCACATAATGCAACCTTAAAATCAAAAAGAATGGGAAATGACAAGAAATGCGAAAGTCATTAATAACATTTTAGATTGAGAAGTCTTGATGGAAGAACTGTACTTCTGGTGGAATGATGAACTCAGGTGAAATATCTCTGATTTGACAGCAGCGTATACTCCAACGCAAAATTTGGTCTGTTATGTTTTAAATACTTCTGCATTAAATTGTACAGTACCTGGAAGTGGATGAACTAAAATGTACTATAACCAATGCAAGACTTCAGTGTTAAGCCTGTGCAGCAATGAGAATTGCAGTGCATCCTATTAAACACGTATTTTAGACATCTGGAAAGTGTATGATATCCACATACATTATTACATGTCATTGCATAAGATAATAAATATCAGCCTTGGTCAGTAAAATGACTATAGTTTTATCCCTTGTAAGAGTCTAGTGATCCAGTTCTCCTGGGGAATTATCTTGCACACTGATATTCACCAGCCTCTCATTAAGATAAGCTGTTGTTATATTTTACAGAAGCCTTATTAAACTGTAAGTAAACTAAAAAGCCCCCACATTCTCCGCAAAAACTAGCTCTGAATCCAAAGTAAAACTAGTTTATTTGAAAATTAAATAAATTACACACGAGTAAATGAAATAAAAGTATTGAAATAAATGAAATCTGTAAAGATTTGCAAAAGGGACTTCAGAAACTTTCAAAAGCACTTCAAATCATTTTCATCTGTAGCTTCCAGCAGAAGTTAAACTGAAAAATTGGCACTTAAGCAACTACACTGTCAAATAGGTTTCCATTAGGTCGCGAATCTACCACATGGAGTTCAGCGTGGTCCCAAGCAAATCATGACTGAAGATAAATGTTTACATCTGAAGGCACAAAAAATTTTGGCTGACATTTCTGCAAGCAGACAACTAGATTCCAATGTCTGTACCTACAAAAGAACAACTAAGACTGCTTGTACAAAAGACTGAATATCAAAATAGCTGTCTGTGATGAAGTTACCTGGTTTCTTAGGAGCCCAATATTTGCCAATACATTACACTGTATTGTTATTTAGATTGTATACTTCTCAGCATCTACTCCATGTCTCCTTAGATGTATGATTACCTCTTAGCAAAAGATGGTCCCAAGCCTGAGCAAGCAGTGTGGACCCTGTAGTATATATAAACACACACTTTTTTCCTCCCTTTTCTCTGTTGCACTAGAAGTGGATTTTTACATCGTGTTAGCTGTCAGTTTACCTTCCTTTCTCAAATAAATCTGTTCTTTTTAGTTATGACATTGAGGCAAGAATTCTTTGTTGGGCTTACCCTAGCTGAGATCCATTGATGGTGGCTTGTTCACTCTGCAGGAAACTGTTTCTCCCCGCTGCTGCCATAGCAGCTGTCAGTGTCATCCTCTTACCATCTGGTTCTGCAGCAACAGTGATTACTGAAGCTGGCTGGGAAGCTTCCCTCCTGGTCTGCGTGCTTCTGAGAGTAGTTTGGTGCCAGCTGGACCTTAAAGATTGCCTGTTCTGAGATCCAAAATGGGAAGCGGTTGGTGATCTCACTTGTCCCATTGCACTGCCTGAAGTCAGGTAGTTTTCTTTTTCTAAAAGGTTGGTCATACTGCGACTGTTGCCTGCTTGATGGTACCTCTGTACAGGGGGGCTAAGAGGGACACTATCAGGGATGGTGTCATTAATAGCCCCCAAATGGGAGTGTCTTTTAAGAGAGTTTCCCTTGCTCACTGTATCACGAATTGTGTAACCAACAATCTCAGACCGAGCATATCTTGGTGGGACAGTCCCATTGGATCTCCTGTAATTTCCATGCCGTGGGGACAATCCAGTTGAAAACACTCTGTCATAGTGAAAATCATTGGACACATATGCCAATCTTTTGGGACCACGCTGGGGTGAAACCTCTAATCTCCTCAGAGGTTGTCTTTGAGCTCTTTCTTCCATCGCCCTGTAAGCAGTTCTTGTCCCCCAGCCATTTGTATAAGAGGATGGCGACGCAACCTGTCCAAGAGTGCATAAGAGAAAAGCAATCATGGTAAGAGCATCGCATTTAGGATTAACAGCAAAGAAACCAAACCAGAAAAGATAAAAATGTTAAGGTCTGCTATAAGAATAAGAAAACAAAATCTGAACATTACTAAAACTGGATATTAAATGAGATTCTGCAACGCTTCTTCATATCTGCATTACAAACATAGGAACAAGTATGATGTAAATATTAGGAGACGAGTCTAATCTGCCCTCACTGACTCAAAAGAGGAATCAGTTACACTTGGTAGAGAAAAGTCTGCTTGTTAATGGAGATTTTAGTTTCAGTTTCAAACTCCTTGAGGATTAACATTCACATCAGCTACTGAAATGAAATTCAAGGCTGTCTGATAGAAGATAATTTATCAGTCAGATACTAAAATAATATACTAAAATGCTTGTATATTGTTACAATGTACAGCTAGAAAGAAAACTGAGAAGTTATTTAGCTCTCCTGTTCACTTTGTGGTAGCACCTACTAAAAAAAAATAGAGATTTCCTTCACTGTTTGTCTAGCCTCTTCTTAAAAATGAAGAAGATCCCATAACATTGCAAGGAAGCAAAAAATGATTGTTTTAATTTTGATGCATGAGAATGATAATTTGTCATCCTCTTGTTTTCCAGTTTTCTCTTAACTCAATAAACTCAATTCCTTCAACTGCTGTTTGTAGGATGTGTCTTCAAACTCTTTACTGTTCAGATGATGTATGGGTTCTCCCCATTTTTTCTGCCTTTTTGTTAAACTGTTATGGTCTAATTGGACTATTCAAGACTTTCCAGAACTAGATCAACTTGGTAGACCATCTGCTTGACACAGAGGAGTGATGGTCAATATTTTAATTTTTCATTTTGTTTTCATCAGCCAGTGTAGCGGCATCCAGCTGTAAACCAAAGCCCCATACATTTTATTTTCATGTTGTATTTAAGTACTATATTATCACAGGTATTTTTAAGGTAAAAGTGAAGTTACACAGAAGTTATTAATTGAAGGGCTAGAGCTTAACAGATACTGATTGAAACCCCTTTCCTTCATTGTTGAGTTGTTACTGGAGGTGATAATTGAAGGACAAATGATAGCTGAATCTTATAGGCCAAGGCTAGGATCATTGGATACATCTGTTTATTCTGCAGGAATTATGCAAGTATATTTTTATGTCTTCACTGAGGTGAGGAAATGAATGCTTTATGAAATACTAGACCTTGTGGATTTTTCTGGCTTGCATGGCTGCATGGCAGAACAAATTGTCCTATTTCCATTTTTTTTTCCCCTTTCTGCCATGAAAACTGTTGTGGGAACAACCACATAATAAGTGCTCCCATATAATAACTGGTTATGAGCAGAGTCAAAAACCTTGAAGAAAATCAACTACTTCCCTTAGCGTTTAGGCCACAAACCCAAGCAAAGAAAGTCAAAATAAGAAGTGAAGCTGTAATTAGACAGCTTAGAAATATTATTGTATTATGAGGACTGCTGAAATTCTTATAATACTAGAACAGGTTACAGCAGGACTGCTTAAAATGATAAGGAATACTCTATGTGTCACTGTGAAACTAACGTAATCTGTTTTGCTGTGGTTTTGGATGCTTAATTCTCTAACATCTTTCACCACATTCCCAGCTCCTATTCATGTCACTCTTTGTGCTGCAGAATCATGGAACTCCCTCCAGCAACTTGTAACTGTTTTGCTGGGTGCATGGCATTGTGGCTTCTGGCCACTTTGGGCTATGCATGTGCTGACTGACTGGCAGCATGGTGAGAGAGATAAAGGTCTGACTTGTAACAACCTTTGTATTAATGGTGTGCTAATATGAATTTATTTCCTAATCTTATGCCATTTCTCATAAATCCAAGATGGTTGCAGAAAGCCTGCTTATCATACTGAGCTGAGTTTAGTCACTGAGCTCAGAAGTCACAAGAGAAAAAAAAACATTAACTGAGTTACAAAAACCTCCTTTTCTAGAAATCAGGCTTTAAAACGTGAAGAAGCAAGCATGCAAACCTTGAAATACCATCTACATGCTATTATTTGTGCTAATAAAATACATTTGTTTCCTGTTTGTTGTGTTTTCCTCACCTGGTTTGACTGATAATATGAGAAACCATACTGAGATCTTGGTGAAAAATCATTTTCAACAATCCCCATGTTATAGACACGTTCTGGGACACTGGAAGCACGGTGTAAACTGCCTGTAAACAAAGACTAGTGTTAGTAAGATTTTAACAACATCCAGAATTACTATAAAGGACTATTTCCAGTAATAGGGAAGTGACTCATTCTATGTTGTCAATAATACTTATTAGCTGAAAATCAGGCACGGATAAGATGGAAAGATGTTTGCATTCAGTGTAGCACATTCAAAACATTGTTCTGAGGTCATGGTTCATATTTTCAGTTTCCCTTTTATTTTACTTAAGACATATTTGTCATCTTTTAGAAGTCTTACTGTTATTCATTTGCTCCACAAAAAACATTTTATCACAGCAAGGTGATATTTTTAATATCCTAGATAATGACAAATGATTAAGTACTGCGAAAGTGTATCACCTTACAGCTACTGAGAATGTTTATTTCATTGTAACCACTTTAAATATGCATGTCTTACCTGATAGTCCCGCTCTAACAAACACAGCACGCATGACTGAAACTAAAATATTGCAGCTGTAGATTACAACTGAGAATACTGGGTTTATACTATGTGTATACCTTTGTTCCTGAATGCCCTAGAGACATAGTTTTCACGATTGCTAAAGAAGTACAATAACTGAATATGGACTATTTACATCATAGCTGTCTGCTGATGTCTGTTCTCCCTCAGGCACTGGTTTAATGATAATATACTGAAACAAGCAGTGCTTCACTAATCTTAGTATTTCACCCAAAGAACATGAAGAGTCCACAAACACATTGTGTGGCTTATGGAGGTACGTGGTGTACGGTGCTGAAACAGAAGGGGATTTTAATGATGCTTTAAAACTGTACCTGTAAGGTTCACTTATCCAACAAATAATGTAGAAGACCCACAGTATATCTGCTTCAATAGATTCTTTCCACAGCTCAGCTTTGAAAATGGAACAGTGCACTGTGATTATTTCCTTCACTACCTTAGGCTTTGTAATAGATACAGGTGAAGTAATTGTTCATGAGATTGCAGCGCTACTATGAGAATCTGTGTACAGGAATATAACAAACACAGGTGTAAAGAGGTGAAACAGAAGCTGAAAGCTAAAGGCAAGATATACCTCAAATCTGTCATAAATGGAGTCAGTGTGGGTTGCAGAAGTTTAGGCTGAAAAGATGACAATGACTAATAAAGAAACTGGCCATGAATTTTCAATATAGCAGATATTGTCTGAGATACTAAAGGAAATAAATCTGCAGAAGAAAATCTTTAACTTAGCCAAACTGATGGAAGTCTCTGCTTCTTAAAAGGAGCCGTATGCACAAAGAAATTCAGATACCAAAAACAAGCAGGCAAGTGACTGCCTAGATTTGTGAAAGCAGCTTGTGTACCTGTGTCAAACTGCTGAGGCTTTTGATTTGTGCCATTAGTCCCATGGATGAATTAGGTGCATGTGGGCATCCCCAGGAACCTCAGTATGACTGTATCTTTCATCATTACTGCATGTAGTCAGTAAGAACTTGGTGAAAAGAAACAAGACACTCATGTAACAGGAACAACTTGTGAATGATTCTTTTTAGCATGTATCTACCTGGATAAATCCAAATTTGTGTATAATATGTAAGTTAATGCAATCATTTGAGGTTTCATTGAGGTATTTTCCAGCTATTTACTCATACTTTCCAATTATTGTGCTTTGGCTATACACAACAGATTTGAACATGTACTAGGTGATTTGTTAAGACATATTCATGCTAACTTTGCATCAATGAGAGTGGAGTCATGCATCCCAGTCAAACTCATCATTTGGACTGTACTAACTCCTTCATGACATATAAGGCTGTCACAGCCCAAGGGTTACCCAACTACATGACAAAGCAGTTATCAGGAGACTGTTATTTTCATACTGCATAAATTTCCTGCCAATTTACACTGACATACAAAATCTGACAATTCACATAAATCTCTCATTTTTATGATATAATTAACATACAATTTCAGGTGCCTGGTAAGATCATGTCTTACCATACTGCCCACGTTTGCCTTTTAAAGATTACCTTTATTCATTGCTACCTATTAAAGTACTGTCATATAATCAGCCTTTAAATAGATACTCACAGGACTGTTTCTTTACAGTTAGTATTTTTTGTCTAGTCTCCTTAATGAACAATTATTGTTATTTATCTTCTTCAAACATAAACATCCCCTGAGTGAGTCATTTTGGCATGTTTTAGTTAACTCTGAATTCTCCGTCTTTATTAAACAAAGAAAATAATCTTGATAAAATAAGAACAATAAATCTGTCCGTGAACCAGCATAGGATAAACAGCTACCCTCTTTGTAAAAGCAAAAACACATTCAACCACGAATTGCAACACTCAGTTATCTCCGGCTTTAAGTGGCTTCAAGCAGTCCTCTGTTTTTTAACCTTCAGTCTCCCTGTGAAACCATCCACCAGTAAACAAAACATTTTTCTCAGTCAGAGATAAACATAGTAAATGTTAACTTGAGGAATTTCGCTTTGCATTTTTGTACCTCTTGTTTGTTTGCTCTTACCATACCAATAAACTATTCTGTCAGCATTTTACCCGAAGATTTATTAGGGAGACATAAAATGTAGATTGTGAGATGGGCTGTCTATTTGTGTCAGAAGCTAAGTGTGCTAAAAGAAAAAGTGGAAACTAAAATGCTGTGCCTTTCCATTAGAAAAAGACACAAAGGATGCTTCTTTTTTTTTTAAATATTATGGATTCGTGGAATTTACATGTTCTAACTATGAGAATCAGTGCTTTAAGCCTCATAGAAACTCTCTCTTCAGAAAATATGAAATCAGGATGCTTGACTGCATGTGATTTCCAGCAGTCAAGGAATGGATGGCTTTCCTACAGGCCCTATGTCCCATCTGTCAGCCAATGTGAATTTATTAGAAAACTCAGGCATCTCAAAGAGCAGTCATGTGTAGGTAATTGAATGGAACCTTTTGTGAGGGCCTCCCCTTTCTTCATTCAGTCTGAACTAAAGAAGCTCAAGAACACTGGCGCGATGGATGTGGCCAGTGGAGGAGGAACACTCAAGCTCTTCACTCTCTTCCACACACAGAATGAAAACTGTACAGAAATAATCTAATTTCATAACAGCTATGATAAAATTTTGAGATCTGGCAAAATAATCACACTATCAGGAAGAAGACTGAATAGTTAACTGAGAAAATAGTCCTATTCATCTTCATGGTGGCTCTTTTGAAGCCCCCTCTCATGGTTTGGTTCAACAATTCTAAAGGCCTGGAAAGTTCCTCCCCATTAATTGCTGGCTATAGCTGCAGAGAAATCAATCTCCTATGTGTCTGGCCTTGGAAAAGAACAAGATACGTCTCGAAGACACATGACGTTCAAAAAAGATGATTACCTGTTAAGGAATTAGGTGTAGGATTCCTTTTGAATCATCTGCATTGTTACCTCTCAGTGGCGAGTCTTTTTCAGCACTTTGTACTTGAATGATTACTGTGAAAGCCAGATTTTGGCTTTAAGCTCTCTACTGCCGGACATAACGAATCCATATCCTGTGCAAACAAGTCTATTGAGGACTGTGGTATTTTCACACAGACTAAGTGTCCACCTGCTGAATATCTCTTGTCCACCAATTCTCGGGTGGGAGGGAGATTATATCCTTGACAGATACTTGTAGCATTCCTGGTTTGTCATCTTTTAATCCTTTTTTGTACTTCACCACTCACAATGGACTGAGCTAGTGGCATTTAGGAAAAGCACATCAAAAACTTCTCTGAACCACCTCACATAGAGAAGAAAGAACCTTTTTGATTATTCCCTTTCATCATAGTGCCAGGGCATGCCTGGTCCCAAGTGACATTCCAACATTTTTTACTCTGCACTGGTCATTACATTCACGTAAATGCTCAAATGTAAGACTTACTTTTTTCCTTCTGGCTCAGAAATTAGCAGTGAGGAATAAGGAAGGCAATAAGAAGTGTAAGTCACCAACAGGAAAATTTTTCTCTATTTCCCTTTTCCAAGAAGATACAAAAAGAAAATCACTATGCATGCTCAGAAAACTACAAATCCCTAAAGCAAGGTAAAGAAAATTACTATTAAGAATTTTAGAAGTGAAGAAATGTAAGGAAAAAATAGGGTTCTGATTGTAATTATCTAACACTGTTGGTTTAGAAATCATATAAGTTTAAACCCTCTTTTCAAATAAACATTCCATAGTTATAAAACTATGTGTTAGAGGATGCATCTTTACATAGATCACTGAGCCATCTGATCTTGTGTGGCATACTACTAAATTCTGTGGTCCTCTGTTACAGCAAAACTGGCAAGGATGTAAAGGATGGAGGACTTTGGTCCAGAGACTACACTAGAGAAACAGAAATACCACTGATGAATTTAAAAAGCCAATCAAAGTCCAAATTGAACAAGATCACAGGAAGGTAGAATCATAAACAGAAATACATAAGGTATAGTCAATACAATAACAAACACCAGTCATTAACATAAAGGGCCTTTTTTTTTTTTAATAAGGCTGAACTCTCTACCGTAACATTTCCATTTTTAAACATTAGGAAATTTCACATGGCTGCTTTTCAGTGCAACATAATCTTTAATTTGCAAAGGTGCAGCAAACTGGAAAATTACAGCTGTTGTTGAACTACTGCTTGGAAAGCCACTAGCAATGTTTGAGAATGTTTTAAAAAGAGTTGAGACGGTTCATAGTTTCAACAATTTTGCAGCAGGAGGAATTCTCAGATCTGGTGATGATCTGAATTTCTATTATAAAATAAAAAAACAGTAAAGATATCCTTAATAGGGTATGCAGGTAAGGGCATAAAGCAGCAAGCAATATGGAGGTAGAAGGCAAAAATATGTTTTTCCACTTGAAGATAACTTTGAAGGCCAAATCTTTAATCTGAAACTTCAAGGAGAAATTATGTTGCCTGACAGTGTACTTCTTGAGGCTTCTAAGATTCTAGTATAGTAAGTGGAAAATCAGCACGCATGGATGACACTTGCTAAGACCTTTACTGCCACTCATTTTTCATACCCCTTTGTTCTGTCCCTGGCTAATTTTAGGCATGTATGTGAATGCTCTGGTTAGGTATGTGGTAAGTACCTTGCTGAACAGAGTCTGAAATATAGATAGGACAGTTATATCACAGGGAACTTCATCTGATGGTTTTAAAACTATTCTCTTCCTTGAAACTCCAAACAATATGAGATACTTAATACATCTTGAAAACTGTACTGTTCAGTGAAGCGGGTACTTTTTTGCATGTTAAATAGTGCATATATTCAGAAGTAGTTTCCATTCAAAAATGTCTTTCAAAGCATAGTAAAATGTTGTGCAAGTCTTCTACGAAAAAATCACAATGGGACATACACACATATTTTTCAGGTAAGACATTTTAAATGTATTATAGGCATTTGATATGCATTCTAAGTATTTTTTATATAGTACATGAAGTGTATTCTGATTCCATTTTTTTTTTTTTTTTTGAGCTTTGCATAGGAACAAAATTTGCATGGTGAGCTGGGCACCAGAATATGTTTGAAAGAAGAGAAGTTCATTTCATGCACAAACAATCCATCTAACAAAACGATATTTGCCATGTCTGATCTTGAAGCTTAGTTTTGGAGCCTCAGAAATGCAAAGTATTCAAACACTTGATCTTTATAAAAACAAAGCAGACAAAGAAAATTATCCTAAATCATTCAGAGAAGTTAAGATGAGCTGGAAAGATGAGAACTCTGTCTTCATAGTTTTATCACTGTTTAGATATACGATGTTAGATTCACAAAACCATTTCGTTTGTTAGTCAACGCTTTAAAATGCCCTCTCCACGTTGTGCCTCTCTATTGAGAAAAAAAGAAATGAAATTACTCTAAAAACTGTTTAGAAACCTTACTGAGGAGTGCTGCCAGGCTAGGGACTTACAGGTATAGATAGCTGCATACTGCGCAGCTGTGGGTACCTGTTTATGTGACTTTGTGTGCCTCGTTTGTCAGAGTATATCTGCATCTGCATTGGATTCTTTTAGCAATGAGGCCTTTTTCAGATGGAAGTCAGAAGTGTAAGAAAACCTGTAAATCCATCATATCATATCATAGAATTATAGAATCATTATGGTTGGAAATTATCTCTGAGATCATCTAGTCCAACCACCAACCCATCCACACCGTGCCCCCTGACCACATCCCTCAGTGCCACATCCACACAGTTACTGAACACCTCCAGGGTCGGTGACTCCACCACCTCCCTGGGCAGCCTGTGCCACTGCAGCACCACTCTTGCTGAGAAGAAATGTTTCCTAATATCCAACCTGAACACCCTCTGGTGCTACTGAAGGCACTCTTGTCCCGCTGCTGTTACCTGGGAGAAGAGGCTCCCCTCCATTCAGATAGCTGTAGAGAGCAATAAGGTCTCTCCTGAGTCTCCTCTTTTCCAGTCTAAACTCAGGAATATCTGAGTGAAAACAGGATTAGAAGGATTAAAAGTTTTCGTCACTTATTTTGGGCCTGGTTCTGCAGAGTGCCGTGGGGCTCAATGTTTGCCATCCACGCCTTTCTCAAAGGTACTTTGCCAAACCTCCTTTTTGCACATTTGCTTTTTCTTAGAGGTGAAACCAGGAAAGCCATTTCCGACTCTACTCCCCAGCTCATTCTGCAAACAAGGCCAGGCTGCTGGAACAAGCACAACCAGAGGAGAACTCTGGCACCCTCCATCTCTCCGGCAGCAGTAAATCCCGAGCAACTCCCGCGTCTCACAAGTTGCAGTAGCTGGGAGGGAGAAACTTCCCTCTACGGAGACGGGCACTGTGAGAGAGCAGCGCTGCTACAACCCCGCAGCCGGGGCTCGCACCGGGGCTGCCCCAGCGACTCGGGACGCCCAGAGCCACGCACGGCGCAGGCGGGCACTCACCGTTGTGCAGCGAGCCTCGACTCTTCCTGGCCAGCGTCTGCTGGACTTGCCGGTGGATCCGAAGCGCCTTCTCCTCCCCGCCCGACAGCTTGAGGCCGGCCTCGGAGGGCAGCGCCAGGCTGGAGCTGTCCAGCTCGCCCAGTATCTGCTGGCCCAGCACGGTGCGGATGTAGCCCTGGTCGCCGCCGGGGCCGCGGCCGGCCATGGGTGCGCGCGGTGGCGGCACGGGGCCGGGGCCGCGCCTCACGGAGACCTGTTGCGCCGCCGCTCCACCGCCGGAGCTCGGACTGCTGCTGAAGGACGGGAGGGGCCGGAGCGGGACGCGCCCCGCGCTCAGTGCGGCCCCAGGCCCTGCCCCGCCCGCCGCGCAGGTGCCGGGCACGGCCGCGTCCCTCCGCCTCCCGCCTGCCTCCTGCCTCCTGCACGGTCTCCGCTCCTCTCGTCCCCTCCCCTCGCCGGGGTGAGGGACGCTGCGTGGCGGCCCGGCCCAGCTTTAGGCAGCGCGGAGCGGTGTCAGCCAGCCGCCCACGGCTCCGGCCGTGAATTTGGCAGCCGACAGCGGCCCCGAGGCCGTACAGCCGAGGAGAAGCTGACAGACGGGAACATGTTCTAAACGCGTGTACGTTCACACATCTTACACTAGCATTTAAGTACTTCTGTGGTTTACACATAGCTTACAGACAACACGCATTTTGCATACGCGTCTGTTCCAATTTGGACACGTAAGATGCGAAACTGCTTCACAGTCTCCGGATGTGAGGCAAAATCTTTTGGGTGGGATGGTGTTAGTGTGTGTGTAGGGAGGTTTCCCTGCTGCGGGGTCACCAGGCTGTCTTGAGACTTCCCAGGGAGCTGAATGGAAGCACTCTGCTGTTTCTTTGTAAAGGGGTGCTGAGGGAATTCCGCAATTAAAGGCTGGAGAAAACCCAACAGGCAAACCTGCCTGTGTTTACCATCCGGAGTGGTTTCGTGCAGCAGAAACAGAGCTTGAGGAATAGGAGCAGCACAGAGGCCTCAGTTGTTCCTCTACCTTGGGACATGACGTGGAGCTGCTGGCTTAACAAGCTCTGTGACTGCGTGGATCTGAAAGGAGGAGGCAAAGCCTTGCGAACAGGAAAGCACAGGATGTCACACTGCAGTTAGAAAACAAGATAGAAGGGCCAGAGTTGTTTGATTTAAAAACAAATAAACAAATTGAAAACAAACCAAACCAAAACACCACCAAGAAGCTAAATGTAAAAGCTTAAGTTTTTCCTAAAAGAAAATGAAAGATGAATATAGCTTTTAACATCACTTGTTGCTGTTTCAGAGAGCCATTGAGACTCCAAATGAATCAGCATGGTTGTACAGTGGTGAGGGCACAGAGAGGCTGGAGGGAAACTGGCACTGTGATGATCCCTGCTTAAGAATAATGCAAGGAACTGCCCCTTTTCACTTCCAGAAAAATCAGGCTGGGGGAAGTATTGACCCCATGCATAGAAGTCCCACTTGCAGCAGCAAAATCCTTTTGCCTTTGATTTACTTTTTGTCTCTCTCCCATTTTTCTTTAAGAAGAGGAGGGGGCTCTGTCCTGGCCTGTCACTGGTCTGGTTAATGTCATCCCCTTTGCTCTCATGTAGTGTATCACAGGATTTTTGCAGGATATACAAAAATAGTTTCACTAGTTAAGAGAGCTGTAGTGACACATTCCTTGTTAAGGTAACGTACAGAAGCAGAGAGGCTGGAGATAAGCTGTGGGGTACCTGCTGGGAAAGGAAAACAGCAATTCGTGCAGAGGAAGAAGCTGAAGGTATGTGGCTGAACTGTGATGGGCAAGTCTAAAAATGTAACAGAGAACTGGAAGGATAAAAAAATGGAAGAATGGGAAGGACAAGGCAGGAAAAACAATGGGGAGGACACATCACACCTCAGAAGGAATGTAAACTATGCTCGAAACTGTTAGACCCTCTTAGCACAACACAGTCACAAAGGCATCTCCAGTAAATAATAGATACTGTGTTCTGGTTGGTTGTTTAGAACAGACAGGCACAGATGAGAGAGAACTGCTGAGGAGATTAAAAAACAGGTTTAAAAATGTGAAACATTTCCTTTCCTCCTCCTTTTTCTTGCCCACTTCTCCTTTCCTGAGTTTCAGGACAAACACAGTTTTTATAGTTGACACTAATTTGGTTTCACACATAAAATACACTTCAAATAGGTTCAGGATTTAGAAAACAATCCCCTAAAGTGTGACTTCAAATGCTGCTGAATATTCAGTGAGATTTTGGAGACAGGTTTCCTCTGAAATGCTAAATGGAAAGGTTTTTGTGGTGTGCTTTTTGCTTATTTGCTTTTGAGGGGGCACTACATTTTCTTTCCTAGCCATTCGAAAAAATGCTTAGGCAAGAACTGAAATAAAGATGAATTAAGGCACTTCCTACTCAAGGAAAATAATGAGATTCCATGTAACCAACTGCTCCACCAATACCACTTCTTTGAAGCTGACTTTTGTTTTTTGAGAGCGGAAGAATTTATCAGTGCCATTAGTAGAATCAGAGCACTGTAGCTGGTGTTGTCATTGAATGTGAGGCAACATGTGAGGGATGCTTGGTCTTAAGTTTTTTGAAAAAGAGATTTAATTATGATGCATGCAGTGGCTACAGGGGAAAGTACCACATACAACAGTACCCCAGAAAGAACATTTACGTTAGAGCTGTGGTAGTTGGTCTTTTCACACTTCTTTCTCTTCCTTCCTCACTCTCCCTGCAATATGACTGACAGAGCAAACTGGTTTTGAGGGCACACTGAAAACAGATTAATTCAGAAAACTTGGAGGAAACTGGTTTAATTATGAATATTGATGTGTTCTGTTTAGCTTTGAAAGTGCTGAACAACACAGTCTTAATTTTAAAGACAAACAAAATTCCTATGTAAATCTCTAGGATCACCTGGAGAATGAAATGTCATTCGCCCAGCACTTTTTTGTCTTTGTTATTTATGCAGAGCTTTGGATACCATGGTTGGAGGTGTCGCATGCAAGTGCAGGCTAGTCAGGAATAGCTGGGTTGTTTCTACAGCTGGCCTGTTCGCTTGAATAACCCTGCCGAGAGAAAGCGAACCCGTTCCTGCCTGTCAGCAAAACCCCAGCGAGGATGAAGCGGCCGCACTGCCACCGCGCGTTTCCTGCCTGGAACAGCACGACCCTGCGCCCTGCTGCTTTCCCTCCGCGGGTTACCGCCTACCGAGAGGGTGTGTAGCGGGCTGGGGTTAAGCCCGTGCTTAGAGACCTGCGATCGGTGTTTTATTGCATTTATATTTGTCAGAAGGGTTAAAGCTGAAGTGAAATCCAACTGTCTTTTGCAGTAGACACACGTAACCTATGCTTTTATGGAAACATTTCTTTAATCTTCATGTATCTTTTGAAAGTAGAGGAATGGAATATCACATATTTTTTGTCCTGGAAGATAAGTTAAGGTTTTGTTTGTTTGTTTTACCTGAGACACAAAGGGGAGAAGTGTTACTCCTTCATTACTAAAATGAGTGTGATAACAGTTCTCTGCCTGACAGACGACAGCAAAAGCACTGAAATTTGTCACAGAATCATAAAATCATAGAATCACTCAGGTTGGAAAAGACCTTAAAGATCATCGAGTCCAACCGTGACCTAAAACATACTACCCTAACTAACAACCCTCCTCTAAATCATGTCCCTGAGCATCACATCCAAACGGTTTTTAAACACATCCAGGGATGGTGACTCAACCACCTCCCTGGGGAGCCTATTCCAGTGTTTAACAACCCTTTCTGTAAAGAAGTGTTTCCTAATATCCAACCTAAACTTACCATGGAACAATCTGAAAACATTAATTTGTAATTACTGAACATCCCAAGTTGAAAGGGCTGCATAAAGTTTTGATGGGTACTCTTTCTGAGCTGACACCGTTCAGGGGAGTGGAAGTCTTCCTGAAGAAGGAAAGTGCCCACTCACGCACATACAAGATGATGATGATCTGCAGTTCCTTGCACATCACAAACTTTCCCTTGCTCTGCACTTCGCTGAGATTCATGTGCAAGTGCTGGTGCTGGAAATACAGCCCGCAGCCGAGAACTGGTTGATCTTCCTGACTTTTGAAAGGTTGGGTAGAACTGCTAAACGGCCATGAACTCTGTTTTATGTCTTAAGGTGGCAAGAATTTGGGGTGGTCCTGGAACTGTAGATAACAGTGGCCCCTCAGGTGGCTTTTTGATAATTCACTAGGGCCTAATATGTATTATGACCTGGGGGGCAAAGCCATGTTCATTTCAGCATTCCTGTCTTTTTCTTTGTTCTTTTTCTCCTGTGACTGATAATGCTTAGGTCTCCTGTTCCCTACTGGGAAGAGACAGACATTCAGTGGGCAGGAGAGGAGGTAGAGTTATTCCAGGGTTAGAAGCAACATCATCTGCACACTGTGGCTTGGAGTGAGGAGGAAGAAAGTTTTAAAAGAATGTGGTAAAGCCCATTTTTTCCCGTCCTGTGAATGTCTAGTGTGTAACATTCTATTGATTGCTCTCTTCTGTGATTCATCAGAGCTGGCTTGAAGCTTACCAGAAGCAGGCAGTGCTGATGATATTGCATTGAAGGACTGACAAAGTAAGGGCACGACTTGTCCCTGCATGGGACTGTTTTGTGCCTGTGCCCAGCATTTGTGCTCATTTCTTTTTGTTTTACGTCACTCTGTTCTCTCAGTTTTATCCTTTCATTCCTCTCTTCTTCTTCTTCTTCTTTCTTCTTTTTTCTTCTTTCTTCTTTCTTAAAGTAATCAAATGTAATAATTTAAAAGTGTGATTTTTTTTCACTTTCGTTCTAGGCCCAGAGCCACACACAACCATTTACCAGAACAAAAGCTGTGCTCTGCATCTGTCAGTTCTTAAGTGATCTGGGCACTGGGGAAGCAGCTAGAAAAGATGCAGGAAGGCATAATCAAATAATCTTATCAGATGCTGCCCTAAAAGGAGCAGATGTATGATGTGACTTGTTTGCAAGGTTTGGAATGAAAGGAATGAAGCAGAGCTAATTTCAGTAAGCTGCAGTCAATACTGTGAGTAACAGTTGTCTCAAGTGGTAGTTGTTCTTTCACACATTAGCATTTTGGTCACTGCAGTAAAAGTATATGCTTGTACAAATACTTTTAAGGTGTTGACACAGGAGCACACCACCAGCGCTTACTGAAGTCCTTACTGCATGCAGTATCACTGAGAGACTCTGAGTTTATCAGGGTCCTTTTGCTGGGTTGTGCATGTAATGAAAGGGTTTTTTCTTCATATATCCAAATGACTAATGTGCCATCGCATACATGTCAGAAATTGAGGAGTTAAATGCTATTCCTGAGAAATGCTGAAAACCAGACATTTAAAAACTTTTTATTGTTCTGCGGCTGATTTAGAATTGTTTGAAATTTGGATATCCAGTACATGATAAAGCAGTATTTAAAAATAATATTTTTTCCTAATTTTATTATAAAGGTTTTTACTGATCATATTTTCTGCTCCAAGGCATCTATTGAGCTAAAACTAAAATTTTGTGGAAATTCTTTGGATCAAATTATTAGTGTCATTAAACTATCCACATATCTTTTTCCAGTATAGTGAAATTGAGAGACTTAGAAAACATCTACTTATCTCTTGTAAAGTAGGATTAACTGCCTATATGACATAACGAATACCTAATCTGCTTTTAATA